ATAAAATAAATCATTATAATGTCGACCTAATAAACCAACTTCATCATGTCGACCCTATGTTTCGACTTTAGAAATCATTGATAATGTCGACTTTTAAATATACAGTAAAAAACAGATATATGTCGACTCTTCTCCGGCTATAGTTAATTATACAATCCTTACTGTAAAATTAGATGAATGTGTACCTACGTTGAAAGAGTCTTTCACCGATTAGTGGAAACAAACAAAAGACGGCGAACTGGGGACAAAACAGCGAACAACGAGACAACTGTGAACAAACAGGAAGCGAAAAAATGGGAAACAGCTAACAACAGCGGCGACAGCTGATAGGCGTCAGAGTATGCAATCAATTGGAATAGAAAACGATGAAAATGGCGCGCCGCCGCAACGAGAATAACGAATTGCTTTGCTAGGGTAGAAACGACGCTCTGCTGCTGCAACGGTATGATAACGATAACGTAGCGATTACGGCTTAGGGGAGACCGGGAGAAGGATAAGAGAGTAATTTCACTTTGATAGAAAGGGTAGGTTAATAAATAAAATCCGTTTTAGGGTAGAGTGATAAATTACTTCCGTTTTTAGGGCATTTTGAAAAAGCACCCTCTAGATTCTCTCCTGCCGACGCTCCCAAACCCTAAAAACTGCACCGGGTAGTTTCCCAAAGGCTAGTTTGCCGCATTTGAGGGATGAATGAGGCCACGTAGTAGTTTGACCGGTATACTTTTCTGAAGTATACCGGTCAACTTTTGACCAATTGAGTGTCCTCCGGCTGACGATTAGAATCTCCCTTCCCTGTGCTTTTAGATTGACTGGTCAACCATTCGGTCTTTTCCTTTGACCGGTCATGGGTGAAATACACCCATCAATTATAATTTTGAATCTCACATAAAATAATGCTTCCTTCCTCGCCATCTTCTTCTTAGATGTCTTCATTGATCTGTCAACTCAGTTCAAGCACATCCATTTATAAATTTAAATATAAATGTTATAAATTATCAAACTCCATATCTACAGTGTAGCTAAATAATAGTACTAAAAACATTTAAAAAATGGTGCTATAAAATATGGTAGAAAGGTATCAACAATGTTGGTGTGTTACATCTTCCATCAAGATGTGGGTTACCAGGTTCTCAAAAAGATTTAAAAAAAAGAAAATTTTTTATCAAAATTCGATATAAAATAGCGAGACAATCTTTAAATATCTGACTAAAGTGCGATGAACAAACAAAATATACAAGTTGTTGAATAACTTAAAGTCTTTATAATTGTAAAGGACATCCATTTCCCAAATATCCATTGCCTTCAACAAAGAGATATTCTCTACACACAAAAACTCTTGCCATCAACGAATTGAGTATATTAGATACTTTCATTCAACGATGAATGAACACCCTCTTTGAGAAGGATAAAACATAGCCAAAAGTCACGATATATACTCCATCTGTCCCAATTTAAATCGCCCATTTCGGTTTATGATGTTTGTCTGTAATTATTTTTCAAATTATTTTATTTGAAAAACAGTGTAAATCTAAAAAAATAAAATTATATATTTAAAAACTACAACAAAAGATCTACAAAATTAGTGGTGACATAACTATGTTATTGTATCAAATAACTTATAAAATTAGAGAATGAATGTGAATAAAGTTTGACCATATGAATAGCAGGGACTTGTATTTTACTTTTATTTTTCACACTATTTGTCTATGCGGATACATTTAAATCCTGGTACATGAATTTTAGGCGCTATTTCACTCAAGTATTTAGTCTTCATTTTCTATAAAAATATCTAAACTTTACCAAATTTTTCAATATTTTTTTTTGAAACAAATTATAGAAAATCTACTAGTCATTTTGCTTAGATAGGATTCGAGCTAGAATGCTTTAGTGCTAGATCCCATCCATCATGTATTACTATCCAGTAGACTAAACAAAATGATTTGTAGATGATCTCAAAAGTCAAACCAATACTGAAAGAATTTGTAAATTTTAAATAATTTTCTTGAATAAAAAACAAAGTTTAGTTATTTTATTGAGAAATGCACAAAGTTCACGTACCACTGCCTACGGGTGAAATTACACACATTTATCACATACTTTCAATTCATTACCACAAAAATATAGAAATTCAATTATACAATAAAAAGCATTGTACTTTGTATGTAAGTTAAAAGCACTGGAAATACGTATGAAGCCCCGGGGCTTCAAACCGGGGCTTCAAAATCTCTCTCTCTGCCACGTCAGCTTTAACTTACACCAAAAATTCACTGGAAATGGGTTTGAAGCCCCGGGGCTTCAAACTGGGGCTTCAAACCTTCATTTTTTACATTTTTAAATATACATCTTCTTAATTTTAAATTAATAAATTTTAATAAATTTATTATTTAAATTAATCAAAAGGGGACTAGTGCATTAAAAAATTACATTCATTAAAAAAAATATTACATTCATAAAAAAATTACATTCATTAAAAAAATATTACATCCATAAAAAAATAACACTACAAAGAAATTACTAATTATTCGAGCGACTAAAAATATCTTCATTCAAATCCGAGTTGTAGTAACATATTACAAACTGACATAACTCATAAAATAAAAAATACAGTCAATAAAAATAGTATGTTAAATTTAAAAAAACAAAAAAAATTACATTACTAAAAAAAATTTAAACAAAAAAAATTACATTAAACAAAAAAATATAAAGTAAAAAAAATTATGTTTGTATATGTTTTTTTGAAAAAGAGAGAATGTAAGGTTTGAAGCTCGTTAAATATTTGAAGCACAAGGGATGAAGCATTTATGAAGCCCTAAGGGGACGGTGTTTGCTGCCCCTTTGGCGTTAAAAAGAGCAATAACGCCCCGGGCGTGGTGCCCATTACCAGTGCCCTAAAGCGGACTAAAAGTACACCCATCCCAAAATAAATGTCCCTTTTATTATCATGGTTTCTCTATAATGTTTATATATTTGTATGTTTAGATCGATCATTTGATAAAATAATGTGATTTTTTGTCTCTTTAGTAGATTTTTTATGTAACTTCGAAAGATGTAATTTTTACAATTTATTTTTATGCGAGTTTATTAAAAATAATTTAATAATAATAAAAATGAAGGTATTAAAAATGGGATAGATGACTTCGTAATTGCAAATGGGCCGGCTCTAAATAGATAGGCCCAGTAGGAATTGCGAATGGGCGGCTCCGAATGTTAAAACCCTAGATCAAGAATAAAAGATTTCGTCTTCCGCTTCACAGAAGAGTTGAGCGAGGGTTTCACAGTCCGGGCTATCAGGATCACAGGAGCGTCCGAGAAGATCAAGTTCTGTCGAGCTCTGTTTAGAGCAGAGCTTCAGGGGTAACATTTCGAGACTCTAGATCTACCCTCGTAGTACTAGGATCTATAGCTTTATAGTTGAAATCTGCGAAAATATGAGAAAATCTTGTTGTTGATGTCTGTTAGGGTTTGATTTCTTCATCCTCGTTTCGAAATCTGAATGTTATTCGCGATTTTTTTTCGGTTTTGCTAAAATGGCGATCTTAAAATGCTGATTTCTGTAACTGCATTTGCGACGATCTCTGCCTCGATCTGCGTGAATCTGATACATACAAACATTGTTTGCACAGTGTAATGACTGTCTGTTATTTTAAAATAAAAATGTGTGAGCAGATTGGTTCATCTTGGGCTGGTTTTGAGGTTTTAATTTTGAAAGTATTTCTTTAAAACTGGTTTTGAGCTTTAAATCATTTAATCAGCAAAGTTGTGTTTTATTTTGAGTTTGATTTCTATTTGGAGTAGACTAGTTGAAGAAAACTTGTTTTTACTTTTCAGTGACTATAACCTAACATAACTTGCAATTTTGTACGGCTAGGAGGCTGTTTTCCCAATCATGTTATATAGGCAATATTATGGGTGTACTTTTAATGTTGAAATGCTCCCCTTTTAGAGAAATCTATTAGCTGGTCTTGGGGTTGTTAAGAAAGGATATGGTCTAGTGTTTGGGCTTGTTTTATCCTAGGCGATACAATATGGAACAATTGAGGAGGTTAAGCTCCTCAGCCCAGTCCCAACTATTGGTTTAACTCCATCATTGATAATGATTTGTCTTACATATATAATTAAAACTTAAACTGAATAAAGGTCCCTTTTCCAAATCACTCAAAAATCATTTTCCTTTTTGCTCCTGATTTTATGTAAACTAAAATTTTGGAAATATCATTAGCAAAAATATTTTTGTTATTTATTGTTTTACGTGATCAGTTTACCTTATTCTTCTGCAAACTTAATTAATAGACTATTTCCTAATTTCATTCTTGATGTTAAATTCTGTTATTTATGATGGCAGGGAAAGGAAAATCAAAGATGGAGACACCAGCAGCTCAGAGAGTGTTGTCAACAAAGGAGGCCGACATTCGAATGATGTTGGCAGCTGATGTCCATCTCGGCACCAAAAACTGTGATTTTCAGATGGAGCGTTATGTCTTCAAACGCCGGAAAGACGGTCTGATTTCTTCTCTATTGCATTCCTTAAAGTTAATTTTGTGGGTTATTTTCATCGTAAGATAGACATCCATGTTCTCCTTTCAATATACGGCTTCTTCGTAGGTCTACTTTTATGTGCTGTATGTGTGTGTTGAATTTGATATTATTATTGTTTTCTATGTACGAAATGTCATCCCAATTTCCTATTTAAATTCAATCTGTTAAAGGAAAGTTAACTCAAGTTAACCCTTTGTGTGTATGATTGGGTGAAATTGTGTTATTCATCATGGTTACAAGTCAGTCTTTGTTGAAAATGTATTGATTTTACGAATAACACTTTATTGTTTTCAACTGCTTTATATGCTAACAATGTATTTAGTCATGAAGTGTAAAATTTTGAAATCCTTTTTTGTTGTTTTGCTGAAATGGAAAACATACATTCAATCTGATTGTGCTTGATGGATAATTAGTACGAGGATGCAATCTAGTGGCTTATTTGTATTCTCCCTTGATGTCAGGAATTCACATAATTAACATCTCGAAGACCTGGGAAAAACTTTATCTTGCGGCTAGGGTCATTGTTGCTGTTCAGAATCCTAAGGACATTATTGTCCAATCTGCAAGGTCTTATGGTCAGAGAGCTGTTTTGAAGTTTGCTCAATATACTGGAGCTCAAGCAATTGCTGGGCGTCACACTCCAGGGACATTTACCAATCAAATGCAAACTTCCTACAGTGAGCCTCGACTTCTAATCCTCACTGATCCCAGAACTGACCATCAGGTTAACTCGAAGCCACTTGATTATCATTTTATTCTATCTAAAATAATCCTTCGTAAAGCCATACATGTAGTTATATAGTTGTCTTTAAAGTACCCCTAAACATCTAAACTTATTTATGCTAATGCATTCAATCCTTTATATTACCAAAATGAAAACAGCCAATCAAGGAAGCCGCTCTTGGGAATATCCCCACAATTGCTTTCTGTGACACTGATTCTCCAATGCGCTATGTTGATATTGGTATCCCAGCAAACAACAAGGGGAAGCACAGCATCGGAGTTCTGTTCTGGATCTTGGCTAGGATGGTTCTGCAGATGCGCGGCAGTGTTGCGCCTGGTCACAAATGGGAAGTGATGGTAATAGCAATATTTGTTATTCTGTATTATATTGATATTTAATAGATGCCGGCATGCTTTGTTCTAGTGTATTACTCTTGTTCCGTTCTCATTTAACTGTTCCTTAATGGGAAAAATTGTATCCTCATACATCATCTCTTCCCTAACATATCAACAAGAGCTCAAGATTGCATAAAAGTATGTAATTTATTCAGTCACCTTTTTTCCATTCATAAAGTATTATAGTGTTCCTTCTGTTTTCAAGAAATATGCTTCCAAACTTTTCGATTAAGAAAAGACTGCTCAAACAAAGCTTTTCACTTTTTCAAAAAGCTACCAAAAGCAACTTGTCTAAAAGAGTGGTTTATTTTCAAACCGCTCCCCTTTTGGATAGACAATATACCCTGAAACATGGACATATGCTCTGGGGGTATCTTAATTTGCCTGTGTGAACATGGAACAATACATTTAACTTCAATTAAGATGGTAGAATATGATTTAACAATTCCAATTTGGTATTCTGGCAGGTCGATCTTTTCTTCTACAGGGATGAAAAAGAGAACAAGGAAAAAGAGGAGGAAGATGCCCCCGCTGCTCAAGAATACAATGACTATGGTACTGCTCCTTATGGTAGTGACTGGTCAACTGGCCAAATCGCGGATTCCCAATGGACTAATGAGCAACCCAGTTTAGCTCCTGCTGGGGACTGGGCATCAGGTATGTCAATACACATTGCTAGTTATTGTTATTAGAACTTCATATCCCCAAAGGGAATGTCTCATTCCATTTAGGAAAAGAAAGGAGTGGTTCACTTACAATTTTGCATTTTCTTTTCTTTCAACTTTTATTTTCTGTTCGTTTGTTTTTTCAAAATTCATAGCTTTTGGTTATGCTCACAAAACTTAACAATCTTTTTATATCATCTCCAGCACCTGATGGATGGGGCGAAGCTGCTGCCCCAGCCCCAGCCGCCGTGCCTCATGGCGGAGTTGTGGTTGCCGCCGAAAGTGCTTGGCCGCAGTAATCTCTCGTCTCTTCAAAAGCTTGCAATAGTTATTCAACAATCTTAGTAGAGAGAGAGCATTGATTGTTCTTGCAAGGAATTTTTGAATGGTCTTTTATCTTCCGCTCGTCCGTTTTTGGATTTCTGTGTTATGACTGGTTGCGTTTTGTGAGCCTTCATCAACAATTTGTTTTTTTACCTACTGTTTGACTGATCATTGGCGTGTGCACTAAGTAATTTTCTTCTCTCAGAACTAAATTTAACTTCAAAAGAATTAAGCAAAACTGGTTAATTGAAGGTGGTAGATAATGGATAATAAAACGTAAATGTGAGATACTTCGTATTTAGAACAAAAATAATCGTATTTAATTGGTCTTGAATTCATACTTAATGTTTCACACAAAAAAAACGAGGTTTGTCACGACAGTAAAACTTTTTTTTGTCAAACATGGTGGGTTTCTAGTATTTTTAATTAGATCTTGTAGACGAGGTTACATAAGTTATTCTAATACCGTCTTGTGCCATCTCCAATTAAAGTCTTGATGTCGAACTTGGGTTTGGTATATATTCTTTCCGTCCTAATTTAAATTGCTTGTTTTGACTTTTGGACATATTTAAGGAAATTAAAAAATAAAGTTGATTTTTCAAAAGTGCCATTACTTTTTAAGAGCTTTTTAAGAGGGGTGATGATGAATGAGAAGATAAGGTGAAGAAAAGTGATTTATTTTAGGGGTAATTTAGGTATTTTATTTTTAAAAGTTTACGATAACAACTAACATGCAATTTATTTTGGGACGGAGAAAAAAAAAGACAAATAGACAATTTAAAATGGGATAGATGGAGTAAGTAAAATTGTATGATTAAAAATGTATTCTGTATCATTGAGAAATTATTTGATTTTCCAATGCTAATTGCTAATCATAAACATTCTTTATATATGGATCCTTAGCTAAAAAGAAATAGATCCGACTAGGCACCATGAAAATGTTAACCATAGCACAACATTAGGCTACATCATATTTCTCGTGCATGTCTCTAAGTGAAATTTCATTTTTTTTCTAGAACATCTCAAAATAAAGTTGGCATCTCACTTTAAGGGAATAAATAGTGCACTGTATAAAATTTCTCTGTTTAATGTACAACTATAGTTCACAAAGATAAATATTTTCTTCAAAATTCGTAAAAAAGAAGGCAAAAAAATACATTTGAAAAACGAAAAAGAGCATAAATAAGGATGTTTTTCCTATTTTCCCAACAAGAATGAGGTTGATTTGTTACCAAAACACTCAATCATAACAATTAACAACCGCCACAAGGGAAGGGAATGAAATGATAGATTACCCTTTCTTCCCAACAAAGCATTACAATTCTTAGGTTTGAGTCTAACAACCAAAACATGAGGACGTTGATATATATAGAGTTCCATGGGTGGCCCGGAGGATATTCTAGATGGACACCCGTAATGGCCTCTCAAATTTTCAGGCTCCATGTTCATTATTATAATTGTTTGATATTTTTAATTTTAATATAAATTTATATTTTGACATTCAATTTGTGATAAAAGTGATTAATAAAAATTTAATTCAGCACTAACTTTTAAGTACAAGTACTCTGCAAAAAAGAGAAAATAAGGCCAACACTTTATTTTGCACAGGGCAATCTACATTTTTCATATTTCCGAGCTCGCACTATACTCTTTCATAATTTATCAAGGATTTGAGTGTGAAAATGCCCTTACGTATCTGACGAGGAATGTTTGAGGAACGAGAAGTGGCACCTATTCGAAAAAATCCATGCAACAAAAGCAAGGGCGGTCTTTGAATATCAATGTTGAGTCGAACAAATTCTTCAAAGAATTTTTTTCAAAAGCTTTTCCACTTTTTTCGCGTGTCCTATTACTCCTTTTATCTGAGTCACTAGCCCTATCTGTTTCACAGAAGGTTTTTTTCAAGTGACTGTTGCACAATTAGCAAAGACAATAAGTATCAAGATGTGATAAATTCGAGTTGGATTCTTGATAACTGCGCTAATATGCAATTATGCTAAGCATAGAATCACTGCAAGTACTAATTGCAGGTTCTATTTTTTGCTATCAGCCTGCGATCAAAGTTTAATTTACTTCTCTCAGTAATCGCCGACCAGATCTAAGGAGACCCTTGGGACGAGGATCATCTTCTTTTTCACATTTGTCTTTCCACTTTTTTCATCTATTCTACTTTTCTTACCTTTTTTACGGCAAAGCAAGTATCTGATCTAAAGTAATTATTTTTTGTTTTAAAGAAATTTTAATTACTTACCTAAGATTATTCAATACTCCGATATTTCCTCCCTTCAAGTTTGATCTTTCTATTGGGGTGATTAAGTTTGACTAATTTTATTTTTAATTCAATTTATTTAACTATAAGTATAAAATTTAAAAAACAAATTTATGCAATAAAAAGATTATATAAAAGATTATACAAAATAAGAGTTAAATGACTATACTCATTATTTTATATACGGAGTAATAAATAATGAAAACAATCCAGCAAAGTTAGTAGAGTATCACTTTGTGAATAATGCATAGAGAAGTGATTTTTATTTATTTATTTATTGAAAGTTAAAGTAAATAAAGATGCTTTGGAAAGTAAAAGTAAACATCTTTATAATTAGATTGATTCTTTATGACAATGGAAAGGATGAACCCATCTTCGAGGGCTTCTGAGTTAGGTGGTTCATTTGAATATATCTGACCCGATTCAATCCTGTTTTTCGAACCTCTAAAATTTTCAGATCGGTAAATATCTATTCCATGTCCGATCCAAAAATTGCTGCATACTAGATTTTTGGATACCTGAAATTTCCGATCTGATCAATGGAATATCAGGAAAAAACCTTATTTGTTTTTGAATTTTATTTTTACCAATAAATCTAAAAAATATTTAGAATGATTTTTTATTTGTTAAAATAGTATATGTCATAAATTAGACTAAAATTTGAAGTCAACTCTATTTTAAGTGTCATAGTTACCTGGGTAGTGTTTTCATAAGCCATAATTTCATGAATGTAGGAAAAATGAATATCAACATAATTGACAAATAAAACATAGACAAAAAGACTAAAGTAAAAATTCGAATTAAGCTTAGATTTAAATATTTATGATGATGAAAATGATTTGGGCTTAAGTTGTATAAGCTTTATTTTTATATTTATTTTTTGAAAATATGAACTTTGGATATCTATGGATATCTGAAACCTTAATATGTCATTTCATATGTGGTCCAAATTATTTTTAGATATCCGATTCGAAATATCTGAAAGCTAAAATATCAAATCGGATATCTACTTTTTGAATCGGATCGACCTAGGTCGTGGACGGATATCTCAGAATCGGAGAATTTTGAAATTAGAAAAAATTTCGAGTGCTTTCGAGTACCAATAGGACATTATATGAGAGGAGATAAATTAGGATTTAATCATATATTTGTGTTAAGTAATGAAGTTGGACGGTATATGGGAAGGGAAAAAGACTAAAATAACAGTAAAATATTGAGAAATATACCAAAATAAAAAAACTATATTTTTATTCTTGAAATATGAATTGAAAATGTATTTAGATTACCAATCATAACCATCTACATTTCGAAAAAGTATTATGAAATATCTACATACAGTGTCACATTACCACAATGCAAATTTTCTTATTTTAGAGATAAAACACAGAGGTTCTATTTTATTCCAATTTAAAGTGATTTCTTATATCATAAGGTTTAATAATAATATTTTGACAAAGAACGAAATCTACACTAACTACTTGCACGGAAAATGAAATGATCCATTTATTTAACAACCAAACAAGACTCGTAACGCCAAACACCCTCCGCCGCAACGACTTCAGAACTAAACAGCAACACTTCGGACTACTAATAAAATGCCCGCACCAAAATACGCGTGGTCGGAAAATATGACGAATCCGCCGCCGCCGTCTCCTCCTCCTTTCTCCACCCCGGCGAAGAAGTCCGGCCGCCTCTCACCTCTTCTTCTCCCTCTTCTCGCCTTCGTCGTCTTCGCCTCCCTCATCTACGGCGAAGACTTGTCCTGCTTTTTCCGCCACCGCGATTTCTCCGCCTCCTCCCGATCTACCCGCCTCCCCGCCGACCTCCGCGCCGCCGCTCTCCACGGTGAGTATTGCTCTTCCCCTCCAGACATTCTCCGATTAAAATTCGTCTCGAAAAAATTGAATAGATTGGGACGGAGGATATACTCGGTAAATCAATCGAAATCAAATTGCAATTCGTATAAATGTGATTTTAATTTTTGTTTTTTTGATGTGGTTAGAGGAGAAGAGGCGGAAATGGGCGTTCGCGGCGGAGGACGGCTGCGATGTTTTTAGCGGGCGGTGGGTCCGGGATGCGGAGCGGCGGCCGTTGTACGAGGAGGAGGAGTGTCCGTACATACAGCCGCAGCTGACCTGCCAAGAGCACGGCCGGCCGGAGAAGAAGTACCAGCGGTGGAGGTGGCAGCCCCACGGCTGTTCTCTTCCCAGGTGTGTCCCACATTTTACTAGAGTATCTCTGTTTTTTCTCTTGTTTTTTTTTTGGTACTAAGAATTTTGTTCCATTGCTTTCTCAAAATAATTAATTAATAAAAAAGTGAATAGTGAAAAGAAAAAAAAGTCATGAATTTCTTTCTTTAAAAAAATATGATTATTTTAAGGGTGTGTTTGGTGAACAAACAGGATATGAGTTTTAATATCTCCAAATATCGGAATCCTTTTTTGGTGTTTGGTGAAATCAAATGAGATATCGAATTCGATATCTCCAGATATCATAAATCTTCAAAATAGAGGATTTCATATCTCAGAATTTGGGAGATATTAATATTAAGATTTGATATCATTATCAACCGTTTATCATTCTCCGCAGGCTATTATTGTCACCGCCAATCACCTCCGTTGTCGGTTACTCTCATATTACTAATCAAATCACGACTACAAATCTCTCCAAACAAATTCGTTTCAGATTTCAAAAGTCATAGCTTTTCTCTCAAATTTCATAACTCAACTTATCCTATTTCCATAACGTAAGATAACTCGAAAACTTACCAAATGAGTCCTAAAGTTATTTTGGTGTCCATATACAGAGAATGTAAATAAGTTCTCGCTACTCAAAATACAAGTACTCTCTTTATCTTAAATTAAATATTTTCTTTCATATTTTGATATTTGACTAAATTTCTGCAATTCAATTTATTTGAGATAACATGACTATATTATTTTATCAAATGAATAAAAAACAATTAAAAAAGTACATAAAATTCGATCATAAGAATAGTAAATATTCAAATTTTAATTTAAGATGAGGCGAGTGTCTACTTTTTAGAATATTTGTCCAATTTTAGGGTATTGGGTAAAGATTCCAAATATGAAAATTTATTACTCCATACAGCCATACTATACGGAAATGATGAAATGCATTTAATCAAATTGTACAATGTGTCTCATTAATAACAAACAATTTTCCATATTTAGAACACTTAATTCTCCGTACCATCAAAATTAATAAACTTTGACCATAAAAAGAAAATAATACTCCGTAATAATAATAATAATAAACTTTGACTATTATTTAATAAAAAAATTTATATCATATATTAATACAAGAATAATTTCTTTAGTTTTATCGTGTGAAATACTTTCAAAATATTGTTTATCTAACTAATATAGCATGTTTTTTAATCTTAAGTCAAGATCAATTTTGGTTGATTATAAAAATTCAAAATTGAACAAACATTTTGAGAGAAAGGAAATACTCCATATTTAATTGAACTTTTAATTTTGTAAAAAACTTTGTGGTCCCACAATATAGGTGTAGCTCTCTCAAATGAGAGTTCATAAACAATTACTACACTCTAATTACATTGTAATAAAGTTATTAGTGTTCATTGCTCAAAAAATTTAAGTTTTTATTTTAAATAATATGGAATACTTATGAGAGAGCTACACCTACTTTTGACATATCGAAAACTAAACTACTCCGTACATCCTATAAAAAACAATTATATTGAAGTTACATTATAATTAAATTTTTGTTTTTGACAATTTATTATCAAAATATGTACCAATTTGCTTAAAAAGAGTCACATAGGAAAGATTTTCTTTTTTGGGCCTCCCAATTTATTTTTACAACTATGTCCTTTGTATATCATGTAGACTGCTAAATAAATAGTGAGAGATAAATTACCAATGCTACCAATACCATTTGTGAACTATTATTGATTTCAATTGCTGATTATTAGAGTTCGTTTGGTATATGGAATTGGTAAAATTGAAATTGAATTGGAATTGAAATTTTATGGGATTCAATTTCATAGAATTGAATTCATTAATTCCAATTCATTTTTTGCACTATTAATTCCAAATCCAAATAATTTATGTGCTACCAAACACCAGAATTAGAATTGAAGCTCTTAATTCTAATTCCATAGTTTGAATTTCGAGTACCAAACGGAGCCTTAGAGAAATCATTATTAAAATAGAGAAACCAGAATACTTATTTGATCTCAATCTACAGTTTCAATGCGACATTAGTGTTAGAAAGCTTGCGGGGGAAGAAGATGATGTTTGTTGGAGATTCGGTTAACAGAGGACAATTTGTCTCTATGGTTTGTCTTCTCCATAGGATCATACCTCCCAATGCAAAATCCATACAAGAATTTGGTTCCCTCACCGTTTTCACCGCTAAGGTAAGCCAATCCCTATACAATTCTCTCTCGTTCGTTCCTTCTTTAATTTTGATTTGATTCAGGATTCATGTTCGAAATCAATGATTTGTTTTCGAAAAAATGAATACGAATAGAAATATAAATATTTTTTAGAATTTGAAAGAAAACGAATACGAATGTGTATGTATTCGATTCGATATGTTAACGAATATGTTCAAATTTAGATATAACAATTTTATGCGTAATATATTTGTTTAACAATAAATACAAGGCATAATATACATAGTACTTCATAAGAGCAAGGTTTGTGTACACACACCATCCCTAGATCCTACTCTCGTGATATCTAAATGGGTTCTTGTTGTTGTGGACATTCCATTTTTAGTACAAAGTACTCGTATATGATTAATTTATGGGGTATTAATTTTTGAAGCTATAAAATGTAAAAAAGCTCAAAATTTGTCTTTTATAACAGAACATGAATACGAACAGAATATTTCAATTTAATATCGAATCAAATATGAAAACTAATAATTATTCATGAATATTTCATAATATTCGATTCAATCTTTTCGTTTTTCAAGACTTAGTGGAAGGTGGCTTCAAATTAGGACATGGAGGGAATTTATCCGGAATTTAAAAAAAAGAATTGTCAATTTTTTAGATGGTACTCCGTACAACATAAGGCTATTTGTAGCACTCCAAATCAACAACCACTCAGCGCTACATCAGCACTGACTGCAATTACGATCACACTCACTTCACACCTGCATTGCCTCACTTCCATTACAATGATTGCATTCTAATTTTTTATTTAATATTTACCTATTTCTATTCAAACTAAATCATATCTTCTAAAATAAAAATTAAAAATTATTCCTTTTATCGCTTTTTATTTCATATTTTTTTTCATATTTTATACAGTGTATTTATTTTAATATTTCTGTTTTTCATTTATATTGAATTTGTTTGGTTTTTATCCTATTTTATTTTTTGAATTTTTTCCCATTTTATTTTTTTATCGCCTTCAAGAAATATAAATAATAGTATAAAATATTCTATAGCGCAACTAAAAAAAGGTTACTACAATTGTTTTTAAAACAAATCATACAAATACGGAGTATGTTACAAGTAACACTAATTTAATAACTTTTTTATATCATAAAAAAAATTATAAATTAGATTAGTTTAAAAGGGAAAAAAATTTGATTACATAATTTAATATTAAAATGTGTTTTGCATATAATTTATATATGTATTATTAGTATCATTATGTAGATCTTTAAATCAACAATGGTATGTAAAAAAATGGCTTGTCTGTAAAAAACTTATGGACAAAACACATTTTTCAGTTCAAAAAATAAATGAACAGAAAAAAATCATTAAAATAGGATCACGACACAATTGGTTTTGACTTTTGATCCAACAATTTAGTGTTTGTCAATAAAGATTCAATTCAAATTCTTGAGCTTCAAAATAGTTGTTTTTAGAATGAATTTCATAAATGATCTATAATTAGAATGGATTTTTCATATTTATTCATCAGTTTAAAATATTACATGAATGGTCCTCAATTTTTTGAAAAATTATTCCATAATCGATCCTTCAAAAATTATACGTAGAAAAAATATTTTATCATATTTGGCTATAAGGCTATTTATGAAATTCTTTCAAAAAATTAATGACAAATTATGCGTCATCTAAGAATTAAAGACTAAATATGAAAAATCATACTCCGTATCTAATTAGGAATCGTTTATAGAATTTACTCTTGATTTTCTCTCAAAACAAAAGTTTTCTACCTAAATTCATTTTAAAATTAAAAGATCAAACATCCAATATAATTGAATGCAACGTTATAAAATGTTCCCTCCATGATGGTTTTGTTGACCAAAATTTGAATGTCAAATCCAAGCTCAAAACACCACCCCAAAATAATCGTCTTAGTTACTATTTTTGTTTCACGATACTTTTTATTTATTTGTGCATTTTAATGTATTATTTGATGAAATAAAATATTTTTGTCACATATTATTTTATAAAACTTTGATGCAGTTTTGGAATATCTAATTTAAACTTTTCAATTTTATTCCGTTCTGTAATTAAATTAATTTTTAAAAATCATTTTATCTTGGAACAGAGGGATTTTGTGCGCGGTTCGAATTGAAAATTCAACGGGAGACTTTTTTTTCTCAACAACTCGTTATAATTAATCAAATCATTTTCAAGTTATGAAAAAAAATAATGTAAAAAAAAACAAAAAAAAAACTTTTATTAGTCATTTCTTTTGATAGTAATTTAGAAAAATTAAATAAACAGGAATATAATGCGACGGTAGAGTTCTACTGGGCCCCATTTCTTCTTGAGTCGAACTCGGACGACGCAGTGGTACATAAGATAAAAGACCGAGTGGTCCGCAAAGGTTCGATAAACAAGCATGGAACATTCTGGAAAGGTGCTGACGTCATCGTCTTCGACACCTACCTTTGGTGGATGACTGGCAATGACTTCAAAATCTTGTAAGTGTTTTTTTTCTTCTTCTTCATATTTATTGAAGCATATATTGAAGTTCCTCATTCGGTTTGGATCGATCCGAACCTAAAAGACTGGTTTAGAGGAACTATTTATGTCCGTATCGGTTGAGATCGATTTCTTTGGTTCGGTCCCATCAAGGACAAAATTTTTTTAGGTTCGGTTTTCGATCCATAAATTATTAAATTTAGATTTTTAATCCATAAAATTTTAAAACATGTTTGATCCGGTTTGAAGTGATCCATTTCAAAAAATTGTTCCAAGCCAAACACGCTAAAGTTTGAATATTCTAAGGTTGCGTTCCGTTCGCCTGATCACATCTGATTTTTTGAAGATCTGATGTGATCAAGTCTGGTCTGATTTGATCTGATCTAATTTGATTTGATCTGGTCTGATTTGATCTGATTGCAATTATAATTAAAGTTGTTCCTGATCAAATTTGATCTGGTCGGATGTGATTATAATAAAAATATGTAATAAGCAAAAAAAAATAAGTTGAATGGAACACAACCTAAGTTATGAGCTCACAAAAAGAAATCCATCTATTGGAATGAGTAATATTACTATCAATCACTTTGAGCTCTTTCCGGTCCAAAAGAGTACTACAAATTTAACAAGAGTCTATAAGAATGTAAAAAAATAATTGGGGGCATCCCATCATTGAGAGCAAAGTGACTTTTTTTTTCCTGATGAAAAAATGAACATTTAATTCTCAATTTTGGAGTTTTTACATCTCTGGTTTCAAATGAATTATTTGTCAAATATAGGCAATCAGGATCATTTGAGGATAAAGAGAAAGATGTAGTGATGGTATCAACAGAGGAAGCTTACAGTATGGCATTGAAAACTTTGGTGAGATGGGTGAACCAAAATATGGACCCAAACCAAACAAGAGTCTTCTTCACAAGCATGTCTCCTTCCCATCAAAAGTGAGTTCATTACATGACTAATTATTATTCCCTCGGTCCGAATTTTTTTTCTCATTTGACTTTTTTTATATCGATATTTTCCAATCTTGACGACAACTTAAGTTGTAACATATTCTGTATTTTTAATATCAATAACTTCATTTTGAAACATATTTTTTTCCCTAAATCTATGTACTTATTTTCATTAATCTTATTTTAAACGTAAATATAATAAATCTCTTTTTCATTTCTTATTCAGTCATCTCATATCTTGTTTTATATAAAACATTTGATAGAGTTCTTAAATATAAAGGTTTTATTTAAAATATAATACGAGTAGTAAATTATTCTTTGCATAAATTAAATTGAAAATGAATTTAGTCAATCATTGTAATTTTTAATCTCCAGTGGTACCTCATTTTTTTTGTAAGGATGGAGTGTGTGTGTGTATTAATAATTAATGTTTTCAAGCGAGATATACTTTTTATCCGCAGACTCGTTCTCCCTCCGTTCCAGTGTATCTGTGTATTTGTCCAGTTTGACTTTTTTGAATCAAGCTGGACAAACTTTGAGCTTCAATTAAATAAAAACCGTAATGTATTTTAACATAAAAATGAATTTATTGGATTTATCGTATTGAGAACTTTCAAAATTATATTTCATTATGCTAATATGCAATATAAATTGAGAGTGTTCAAAATTTGTCCAGTTTGACTCAAAAAAATCAAACTTGACAAATGCACTGGGACGGAGGTAGTATATTGTTACGTAAAAATATAGTACCATGTTCTCCATAAATATATATCTTTTTTTTTTCTTATTAGGGGCATAGAATGGGGAGGTGGCCCAAGAGAGAACTGTTACAACCAAACAACACCAATAGAAGATCCAAAGTATTGGGGATCAGAGTGTAAAAGGAACATAATGAGAGTGACTGGGGAGATACTTGGAGAGTCAAGTGTCCCAATAACATTCCTAAACATAACACAATTGTCAAGTTATAGGAAAGATGCCCACACCTCAATATACAAGCAGCAATGGAGTCCTCTCACCCCAGAGCAACTGGCTGACCCTCTTAGCTATGCTGATTGTGTACATTGGTGCTTGCCTGGCCTTCCTGATACTTGGAATGAGCTTTTGTTTGCCAAACTTTTCTACCCTTAGATATTTTTTTATACTATGTAATTATACATTGGGATTTTACCTAAATAGTACTAAACTATAGTAACTTTTCCAGTGTAGTACCATATGTTTTTATTTCCCAATGTAGTACTACTGTTCAATGTCTACTGATCATTGTTCAAAATACCACTGGACATTGTTCAAGCTAAATGTCCACTATCACTTGGACATTGTTCCCGCCACTAGACATTATTCAAGTACTATTTAGGGAATAAAAAAGTTTAAGTCATACATTAGGAAAATGACATGTTTTAATGCTATTTAGTGTAAATTTCACTTCTATTTTCTAGTTTACTAGCTTGTTATATTTATACAAAGTTGATTTTCTAGATGACATATTGATACAATGTAAAAGGTGTTAATAAAAGGTGATTTTTCCCTCCATTAGAACATCAACAATGGCGATGCAAAAATGAAATGTTACACGGTGATATGAAACATTTTAACCAATAAAAATAGTTCAGTCAGCGTGTGGCAAGTGAGTGGATTGGCAAGCTCGATCTACAGTGGCAAGTCATTATTTTATCACTTTTTTCATTTTTTTATATTTTTTAAACATAAAAATATTTTTATTATTTATTTTACCAAAAAAATATTCTACTTTCCTATATATTTTTTTCATAAAAAACATTAAGAAAAACTTAACAAAAAATTATAAAAAAAAAGAAAAAAAGGGTGGAGTGCCACACCCATGCTTACCAAGCATGACATTTTACCTTTGCTAATGCTATGATATGAGATGAAGAAGCTGATGTGGCAGTGCAAGACATTCCTTTTCCCTGCCATTGCACACGCTCTTATGAAATGCATGAGTTAATGTGAGATTCACTGGAATAAAGGCTAGATCGCTCGCTCTAGTACCTCCGAGGTTTGAAATATATGGATCAATATTCTATATTTTCAAAACTTATTTCTAAAATCTCTATAGTTTCAAAATGATGCCTAATATTCAAATCGCATGTGCCATCCGACTCTAATATCATATTTTTCGTTCATTTTAATTAATATTTTTAAATTATTATTTACAATGTTTTTAAGAATCAAGGTCGTTTGTGTTTGAAATAAAAAAAAATAAATGAAATGAAAAAAGGTAACATATACTTTGTCTATATTGACACAAACATGTTCATTTTTTTATTTTCAAAAAAAAAACCTTTTGAGACATTGAAAAAGAAAATGAGAAATAGGAAAAGGAAATAAAATAAGAAAAAATTAGAATTGAAAAGGAAATGAAAAAAAGAGATACAAAAATACTCTTATACGATGGCCTTTGGGACGATTACCTTACTATGGTGTTATTGCCAAATTGCAAATGTGTGTCTGGTAACAGTTATATCAAATTGCTTCAGCAACACCACTTGAAATAGGAGCTGATCATTTTGTGCTGATCATTTTGTAATGACTCTTGTTCTTTCATATGTGATATATGTGGACTCTTTTTTTCATAGTTTAATAAAAACTACTTCCATTTTTTGATTGGTTGCGTGTTGACATTTGGAGACCATACAAAATGTTATGGATAATAGAGTATGATATTTAGTATTATTATTATTGAACCGTCAGGTTAGCGTTAGGGTTTCCTTCTTTCCTATATAAGGAGATGTAACCCCCTTTAGAGTTATTCAATCAAAAAACAACTCAAAACCCTAATTCCTTCTCCCCTCTCGGTTCGCCGATTCCCTCTTTGCCTCAATTCTTCTTCTTCTTCCTCGTCTCATATTCTCAAGAGCTCGAAGACGCTCTGAGTCTTCCCTATTTGATACGAGTTCGTATAATTGGTAATAAAAAATATTTTCTTACTTCAACGTATTTAAATTTTAGTTATTTCTTAATAAGATTTTTTTATTTCTTTAGGGTTTCAATAAGATTTTTTAAATTTCTTTTTTTTCATCTTTTACCAGTAGGAGGAACTACATAATCCTCTATATAATGCCTAAAACTTTAGAGCCTATAACTCCGTTTACTTTTAGTTTTATTTCTAATAAGTTGAGGTTAGTTTTTATTGATGTATTTTTATTTCCTTAGTTTTGTATGGTTTTATTAGTTGTTTTTCTCATTTTCATTATTTTTATTGTTTTTTCAAAGGTAAAACTACTCTTTAAAAAAAGAAAACGAAATGATGGAGATAGAAAGTCATTTTAAAAATGTAAGGAATTTTTTTAAAATAAAAAATGAAAATTCATCAAAAGTAATCATAACTTTCATCTTGTTGCACAAAACAGGGTCGTTAACCAGCCATTAGCAACTTAACGGTGACCCAAAACTTGCAAACTTTAGTAAAGTTGGGATTATTCAGAATAATTTTTCCTTAATTTAATGTTATTATATGTATGTATACACACACAAATATGTTAGAGTTAATATATTTCAGTATAGTTTACCAGAAACCAATTCTCTAAGTTGAAAACATATTACAGATTAGCAAAACATATAAAACTAGAAAAGAACACTTCAAAAAAAATGAAAAACTTCTAAAAATACCAAACATTTTAAAATTTAAATATTAATTGTTAAAATGTAAAATTTGAAAACGTAAAAAAAAATAAAACGAAAACTTAATTTTGGGATTAAGAGTATTCCATTTGTTCAAAAAATATACATGCATCATTAATAATATGTACACAATTCTTAAATTCCATCAATTGGCTAAATTTCCAATATAATGTATCAATTTAATTCATATACACATGCTCAATTAGCATAATCTTTTGTTTCCATATTTCAAAGGGTACATAGAACTTGATTTGAGAGCAAACCATATAATATAAAACATAGGGAAAAAAAGGAATGCAAAAAACAAAAGCAAATGATGGAGTTGTCTCCTTCTTCATCCATCTTCTTCATAAAACTTCGGTTTCTCCCATATCTCTTGGCATTGCTAGTCATGGCTTTGTTCATTTCCTTTTATGCCTTTTTCTTGTCACCTTCATTCATATTGTTCACCTATTCTTGGCTGCCTCCTCAACTAGTGAGTTTCCTATGATACCCTCCACATTAATTTTTCGTTTTATTTTTAATTCCACTTTGATAAATAACTTGAGGTTTTGAAGCTAAATGTACTATACAATAGACCTCTTTGGGAATAACATTAGTAATTAACGTTAGCGTTATGTAATCAAGATGTCTTTCATTCATTGTATTTTCACTAATTTCTTTTCTAATTATACAAAAATAAAAGACGTCAACTTTTTTCAAGAGTACATCCGAGCTGATACCGAGACTCAATGGGTCCAAATCTAGGACTAAACTTCAAAACTCATCGGGTAAATCAGTACGAGTCAGGATCAATTTTTTTAAAAGGATACGAGTATAGTACACTATAGACTGACCGAGCTCGACCCATTGACAGACTAGTTATTGTGTGATTTGTCAGATTATACGCTACATCCGGTTCCTGGTCGGACCCGCTGGTTCGATAAATGAATACGAGTTAGGATCATTTTTTTTTAAAAAAAGGATATGAGTATAGAGCATTATAGCCAGGCTGAATCCAACCCATTGACGGGCCTAGTTATTATTGTGTGATTTGTTAGATTTTAGGCTATGTCCGGTTCCCGGTCGGACCCGCCGGTTCGGTCCTGAAACACGGTCTAGCTCACAAATTGTTTGGTTTCGGTGGTAGAATAGCAGAGAGAGGGGAGGGTGCCGTTTGCAATAGGGCGGGGGGAGGAAGGGTGCGACGTATACACGGGGCGGTGGGTCCGGGACGAGGAATCTCGACCGCTGTACGAGGAATCCGACTGCCCCTATCTTCTTCCTCAGCAAACATGCGCCGCCCATGGCCGCCCCGACAAAGATTACCTCTACTGGAAATGGAAACCCCATGGCTGCTCCCTACCGAGGTATTTTCATGTCTAGATTCAACGATTTTTAGATCTATTCATGAAACAAGAAAAAAAAACATGTAAATAGTCCCTGATATATTTCAAGATTTCATTGTAATATCACTCGTGTCTCCTAAAATTTTAGTGAAATTAGCACTGAATAGGACTAAAACATAAGTCATTTCCCAATGTAGGACTTAAATTATTTTATTTCCTAAATAGGACTTAATAATGACTAGTGAGAAGAATAATGTCCAAGTGATGTTGGACATTTAGTTGAATAATGACTAATAGATAATGACCAATGGTCCTACATTGGGAAATAAAAACATATGATCCTATATTGAGAAAGTCATTATATTTTAGTCCTATTTAGGTAAATTATCCAAAATTTTACTCCTTTTTTTTATTTAGCAGAAATAAGAAATGTATATTTGTGGTTGACTTTCCAATTCTGTCCTGAATGTAATGAGTAAAAGTATGATTTGATGGATAAATTATTAGTGTAAAAGTATGATGTGATAAGTAAGGTAAAAAAATAAGGGGTAAAAGTAGTTTTTAATAGAAAGTAAAAATGTTTTGGAGAAAACAAAAAAAATACGGAGTAAAAGAGGAAGTGTTTTAAGAAACGGATGAAGTATATATATTTAAAGTAATAGTCTAAAATTGCAAAATGATACTACCTCGGTCCCAAAAAAACTTTTCCTGTTTCGAATTTTCTTTGTCAAACAAATCTTTGACTGTAAATTGTGAAAAAACATGTATTTCATTTCAATGTAAATTCAGTATAATTCGATTCATCTTAGGATATAGTTTTGATGTATCAAATTTTTATAATATTTATTTATTCAAGTTATGTTTAGTTTGTAGCTAAAGAGTGTCATTATTTGACTACGAAAATTAAAACAAGAAAGGCTTTTCGGGACCCGGAAAAAGTTTTCATTATGTGATTAACAACACACACACACATAGATACACACACACACACACATTCTTCTAATGTACTAATTAATTACTATCAATATATATATATAAATACAGTTTCAATGCTACATTGATGCTTGAAGCCCTTAGAGGGAAAAGAATGATGTTTGCAGGAGACTCATTAAGCAGAGGCCATTACTCTTCCATGCTTTGCCTTCTTCAGAAAACCATTCCCCACAATGCCAAATCCCTTGAACAAGTTGGGCAAAAAACTGTTTTTACAGCCAAGGTAAAAACAAATAAAATCATTTCAAGTGTGTATTCTCTCCGTCTCGCTGTCAATAATTAACTTTACTCTTTGGCTTTGTGAGAAATAAAAAGCGATGAAAAAAAAGTTTGTAACGTTGTTTTTGTCACGTTTTAATACAAAGGAGTACAATGCGACGATAGAATTCTATTGGATGCCATTGCTTTTGGAGTCGAACGCAGACAATCCGGGGAAGCATAGAGTGGATGATAGAATTGTAAGGGTGGGTTCAATTCATAAGCATGCACAACATTGGAAGGGTGTCCATATTTTGGTTCTCCACTCTTATCTTTGGTGGTTCAAAGATGAATACTTCAAAATTTTGTAAGCCAATCCAACTTTGTTTAATTTAACTGTGTTTTAGTGTGGATTGAATTGATGAATATGAGCTTAAAAACACAAAGAAAAGGAGGATCGTTTGAGGATGAAGTAAAAGACGTAGAGGAAGTGCTCTCGAAAGACGCGTATCGTATGGGTTTGCAGAGCATGTTGGAATGGGTGAAGAAGAACGTCGATCTGACCGAAACAAGAGTGTTTTTCACCGGCATGTCGCCGACTCATGGAAGGTGAGTTCATCAAATTTCAACTACGTTCTTGCGTTTCCTTGAACTTTACTTACTCCCTTCGTCCCGTGAATCAAAATGTTCTCGATTTGAGTTTCATGAAATTCGAGAAGAAAACGTTAAAAGGCGAAAGTTTGTTTCAAACCAAGAGCAATAAGGCACTTGAGGATACCATGATAGAATTAAGGGAAAATAGAATTAAGGATGAGGTAAGGATCACTAGACTGAGCCAAAATGCACTTGAGTTGAACCACATTAAAAGATTGAATCCAATCGATTAGTTAGTTCAACTCAAGACCTCATATACCGATTATTTTACTCTTAGACTTTCGATGTGGGATAACACTCTAACAAACAATAATACTTAGAACCCCTTATTCTTTTTTTCAAAGGGGGGAAGAAGATTGATGAGAAGATTATTTTGGGACAGATGAAAAAAAGTGGAAGATCTTTGTCTAAGTGGAAGATCTTCATATATATAGACTACTACATGGTGAAATATTGACCCATAATTTTCTTCATTTAATTTGTCTATAGGAGTGTTGAATGGGGCGGGGAGCGGAATGGCAGCTGTTACAACGAAACGAGCATGGTACACGACCTAAATTATGAAGGGCCAAAGTCGTGGAAAAAGACGGTACGAGTAATAGACGAAGTTCTTGTTAGCGAGTCGCGAATAATAACATATCTCAACATCACAAAGCTAACAACTTATAGGAAAGATGGACACACATCTATATACAAGAAACAATGGGGGCCTTTGAGTCAAGAACAACTTGCCAATCCTGTGAGCTATGCTGATTGTATCCATTGGTGTTTGCCTGGTGTTCAAGACACTTGGAGTGAGCTTTTATTCACCAAACTTTTCTATCCTTGAATTAATTAATTAATTTCAAATGTACTTATTTGTATATTTAAAAATTTTCATTTGGTTAACATTGTGCTCCTTAATACTCCCTCCGTCCCGTGCCGCGCCGAAGGGCACAATACTATATCAGTTTCTGGATAGCTTTTGTTCATTTAAGTATTTTATTGTTGATTTGAAAAAAATAAAATAATTACATCACTTTTTAGTTTATAATCCCTCAATCCCTAATTTTTTTATTTTATGAAATTTAAGAAAATGATAAATTTGTGTTGATTTTTCAAAATTTTCTTTGACGTGATGTTTAAAAGTAAAATGTGATTGATAGATTATTAGTGAATATGTATGATGTGATATACATTAGGACGAAAAGAGTATAATGTAAGAATTGAAATGGGTAAAAGTTATTTTTTACCGTAGTAATAGATAGGAGAAAAAGAATGTGAGACCAAGAAAAAAAGATGACCTTTTAGGGACGAAGGTAGTAAAACTTTTGACGCAGTTTTAAATGTTTTATATGCAATAAGTTCCTCATTTGTTATTTCATTATATTTTTTCAAATGATTTTAAAAAAGTGTGGGATTTCTTATTTTGTAATTTGAAGTGTGCCCCAGCAGCCTATGGCATGAGACATAGGGAGATTAAATTTTATGTACATGATTTTTATTCTAATAAAATGTGTACTTGTAAGACTTATACATGTTTTTTAGACGAAAGGAGCATGTATATAAATACCACCAAGGTTCCGTTGACACCGACATAAAAATTGATATATAAATACCTCTACCCCTTTTTAAACTCCCACCGCCCTCCCACCCCAACCTGACCCCTACGCAGTCATGGAATCATAAGTTATCTTTAGGGCTCACTTATATCACGTATTCAACATCCCCACCCTAGACACTTCATTTGTCCCTTCCAAATGTGTGACGATTAAATATTGTAATATAAATAATAAAATTATACTTCCTCCGTCCTCATTTTGATTACATTTTTTTGTCTCTCCTTTTGATAACTTTTTTTATTAACGCGATTTCGTTAAGTTTCTGATAAAATATAACATTCTTGTTACCTTTTGTTTTGTAGAACTTTTGACCTAGTTTTTTAATATGTAAATTTTATTTCTAATTGATACACCAATTTGTAAATAAAATAATTTCAAAAAATAAGAATTTTTTCTCATGAACTCCAATTTGTAACCAAATTAACGACGGAGAGTAGTATGATAATTAAATATTGTAAAAAAGTTGAACTTAATGGAAAATGGGCCTAGGCCAGTAGGACACTTTGACCCATAGGCATCTCTGTCAAAGGTTTCTTTGAATTTCAAACACCCATAAACATTTAATTAATTGTTTTGCATTTTCAGTGGGTTTTGAAGACCACAATTAGTAATCAAAACCTTGGGCACAACCACCACAAAGTCATCAAACATTCTCTTATATATTTAAAGTTCAACTTCTCTTTCTCTTCATAGAGAAAAATAAATAAATACAATTTACAAACTCCATCTCCCCAAATTAAACTAAACAAATCTCTCCAATTGTCTTATAATTAAACTAATCACAACACACTATGGAGTCATTGCAGGCTTGGGTGTCTAGACACAAACTCTCCACCATTGGTACGTGTACATACACATTTTTTTCTTCTAATAATCGGACTGAATCGTAAAAATTTGTCGCGGATTTTGTGACGGATTTCACCATTTGTATTAAAAAATGGCTTACTTTCTGTTCATGTAATTACTAGATCCAACAAATTTAAAATTTCACACGGATATCATAGGATTACAAAGTTAGAAAAACACTCTCAGAAGTTCAATATTTTTGTAATAATGTTATAAAGTGGAGTATATTTTTATTTTTGTAATAATGTTATAAAGTGGAGTATATTTTTGAACAATATTACTGTAAAATCTCGAACTTTTTAGAGTATTGAATCAAAATTTTCTTTTTTTAAAGACCAAATTTATAAAAAGTTTATGCTGTTAGTTTTCAAGTTCGAAGAAAAAATTTGGTTAGTTCAAAGGAAATGTGGCTTAGATAATTATTGATACTCTCTCTGTCGTAAAAAAATAATAATTTTCTTTTCCATCAATTTTTTTCAAAATAAATTTTTCACTCAATTTCAAAGAACATTGAATGTTTTAAATGGAGTATTATTTTTCTCATCTGCATGATATTTTTGGAACAGGAATGACTCTATTACAATGTAGTATCTGTTTATAAATTTTTAGCTTATTAAAACTTGTAGAGTTACTAGCCGCGTTGGGGATCGAACACGTGACCTCTCATTTGGGAGAGCCATAATTTCATTTATTTAAAAATTTACTTCCTTCGTCCCATCAAACTTTTCAAAGACAAAATAGATGTGCCGTAAAAATGTGTAATTTTGATAATATTTTGAATTTTGTTCTTATTTTATAATAAGGTATTGATGGGAAATAATACGTGGCTCGGTCCACATTTCTCAATTATTTACGAAGAACAATCAAATCGGATTAGTTTATTAAAAGTGGAATAAAAGAATAATCCCCAAGGAATCAATTTCACTCCTCCCCTACCAATTTCTCTCTCTAGAATATGCATAGTACTTCCTCCCTCCCGGAGTGTTTGTCCACTTTCATTTTTGCACACCATCCAATGCACTTCTTTTATCCATTTTATCTTTTAATGTGTATATTAAAAAATTATAAAAATTATATATTAATAATCTATATGTTAAGACGAATCAAACAACATCACACATGACTATTTTTAGGCTTACACATTGAGAGAATTTGATGAGTCAAAGTGCTTAGATAAACAGTTCCAAAAGTCAAAAGTGGACAAACACTTAGGGACGGACCAAGTATATTTTTCTTCTTCTTCAAGAGCTTATAAGCTCTCCATTAATGGCTTCCAAGCCCAATTCATGTACCGTGTACAACTCCCAATATTAATAAAAATTCCTCGTTGGCAAGGTACCGCAAAAAAAGGCCAGTGGTTTTCTTCCAATCGATTTGGGTTTCCACGTCAAAATTCCCGTGTTTATATTTTGGTGTATTTTTAGAATAGTTTATCATTTTTGCCTGGCTAAAAATGTTATACCGGTCGATAATTTACACCATCAGGTATTACATGATTTAATTTGTAGGATAGATGAGGGATGGCTAAAAAAATACCCCCTCCGTCCCAAATTATTTGCCACATTTGCTTTTTCAACAATCGCGGGAACTTTTGTTTATTTCTACGTTTTCATTGGTTATTTGATAAAATAAAATATTCTTGACACCACTTATTTCGAAGAACTTTTTATGTAGTTTTTTGATATGTATTTTTTATTTTTTATTTCTTTACCAATATGTAAATAAAATGAATTGAAAAAAATTTAATATTTTACCTCGGTAATAGAAATGTGACAAATAATTTTGGAAGGAGGAAGTAATATAAAAAATAAGAGTACATATCTTGGACGAGCCTTTTTTCGTTTTTGAAAAGTTTTATGAGATTAAAGAAGTAGTAAAAAAAGTAGGCGAAAAAATTTATTTAAAATGGAGAGAGTATTCAGTATTTTTAAATATAAGGATTGATTAAATATAATGTGAATACAGTGGGGTTCTAGTGCCACTAGAATACGGTGCCACTGGTATTTTGGAACACCTCCGGTGCTCTAGTGGCACTAGAACCCCACCGATGTGAATATTCTTGTTTTTTTGTGTTTATGTTGTATGTACATGAATTGAAGGGGCATTGTGGACATCAGTAATTGGAGCTTCTTTTGCTTACTCCACCGCAAAAACCCCTCTCAAACCCAGTCTTCGCCTCATACATGCAAGGTGACAATTTTACCTCNACTTGAATAAAACTAAAATATATATGAATTTTTTAAAATACTTCGTCCCAGAGTATTTGTCCACTTTCACTTTTACACATCATCCAATGTACTTCTCTAATCCATTTTATCTTGTAATTTGTACATTAAAAAATTATAGATATTACTCCCCCGTCCACAATTAAAGTTTAGATTACGCGTTACGATGTTTGACTGAAGTTATTTTCAAATCATTTTATATGAAAAATGGTGTAGAATTGAAAAATAAAAATTACATATTAAAAAAGTATATCAAAAGATCTACAAAACTAGAGGTGACATGACTATATTATTTTATCAAATGGGTGACGAAAATAGGCCAACAAAGTGAATAAAGTTTGACTCTGTGAATAGTGAACGTAAAGTTTATTTGTGGACGGAGGGAGTATATATTAATAATCTATATGTTAAGATAAATCAAAGAAGATCACACATGACTATATTTAGGATTACACATTGAGAGAATTTGATGAGTCAAAGTGCTTAGATGAACAGTTCCAAAAATCAAAACTGGACGAATACTCTGGTACGGAGGGAGTAAGATTTTTAATGTTGTCGAAGGAAAAAAGTTTTTTGTGCTTGTTTTCCCAAAATTTGAGATTGGGAACCGTGAAACATTCGCAATATGAGTATATAACATTGTGAATTGACATTTCAGAATACTTTTTTAAATTACGTATTTGATATTGTAATTAAGTTTGGTATGAAACATAATTTACTCACAGTGTGTTATTTCTCCTCTAACCAAGGAATATGAAGAGATAGATTTAGCATTATCTTATTCCGATATCTACTACTTCTCTTTCGTCCAATAAAATATTTTCTGTTTGAAAAAAAAAGAATTTTACAAACTTGTAACATTTTTTTTATAGAAAAACACAACTTTTTTTTAATCAACATTTTAATTAGTTTGTTTCCTTTTTCAATTCTTGTCCACGCGATGAGTGAACAGAATGCATGCTCAGGCATTAACATTGGCAGCGATCTCCGGCGCGGCGGTCTACCACCATTTCCAGAATCGCGGCGGTGACAATCCGACACGCAGCGGCGATTGATACTGTGCATATATGTTACTTCCGTTTACAACAACTTTTATTCCCTACTCTACAAAAAAAAGTCCCAAATGTAACGAGCTGAACTGAGCTGAGTGATCGAACTTCTGTTCCGAACTATATTTGGTTTAATGTAATGTAAATATAAATGCAATGTACTAAATTTATACATTTTCGTATGTTAGAAATGCGATATTCCTTCCTAGAAATTAGTTACATAAAATCTTCCTCGTTGGAATTTATCGATTGTGACCGCGTTCGATATTTATGAATATGTTGCTTCTTTTTTATTACTCAGTGTTATGTAAAAAAAATCTAATAATATGAATAAATGAATCTAAATAAGACTTAAATTAAAACACTTAATTATATGAAAATAAGATTTTTTTTAGATTTGACTTGACACCGTAAAATACCCACAATGTTAAAAAATCAATTCAACCAAAAGTTCAATGTAATAGTTGTGGACTTATTTGAGCTTTGCACGTAAAACTTTAATTTTTATAAAACTGGAAAGTGGTGAATTTTGAACTCGTGATCTTTTGGTCAACAAGACTCTAGTACTAAGAACCAGTTCAACCAAAAGCTCAAACTTGTGGTTGTGGTCGGAAAAAAGTGTTGTATAATATCCTCACACACAATTTGACAGAATATGAAACATGTTTTAGTCTTAATTAGTTAATATGCTTTTTTAAGTTTGTGGTTTAGAAACACAAACTACGTAGTACTATTATACTGGATTTGTATAAATGTATACGCTCTCTCTCTCTCTCTCATGCAAGTGGACTCATGTAGGATCTCCTGGCAATTAGAGGTGGTGCGTCAATGTCGGGCTGAGTGGGAATTAAAGGTAGGAACCATCACATTTCTTAAGTGGAACGAAATACGACATGGGATTCAGCATCGCTAGTGTTAGAATATGACGCTCCCCTGAGTGTCAATATCCAAGCTGTTAAGAAGAATAAGCTTTCGTGAATAATACGACCACACTGGTGATTTTTTACACCAAAATGTGGTGTCCAACACTAAAATTCATCAATAAGCCTTCTTACCGCGGTCTGGCCCGACCCCACCTCACCATCTCATTCAATTGCACCTTCAATATAGATAAATACTTTCATGATTTTCAGGCTCATTTTAATGATATAGATTTTGTTGACATAGATTCCTAAGATTATGATTAATGTTAGAGAATTAGGATTAAGATTAGAATGAGAAGATTATGATTATAATTAGGATTAGGATTATATAGGGGATTGGGACTAAAATTAAGATTAAAATAAGTTCAGGGGATAAGGATTAATACAAAATTAGGATTATGATTAGAATTAGGATTATAATTAAAATTAAAAGATTAGGATTATGATTATGCATATTAACTTGGATAAAACATGTCTTTTCCATATTAACTTCTAAACCCAACAATTTTGCGAGAAGATCTATGAATTTAGCTAGCTTGGACTTTGGGTGCACGGGAGAATCACTACTCCTTCATGTAAAGTTAAGGTCTAGAACATAAATTGTGTAAGTTGTGGGGGTGCAAGTAATATTCTTAGGAACCTCAGGCGTACAAATTAAATATGACAATCAAGGGTTTCTCCCTCTGCTTCTTCCTCGTCATCTTCTTCTTCCAAGCCTCTTCAGCAGAAACCGCCGGCAACAATGGGGAAAAAATCAAAGACTTCAAGGAAGGGGAAGAAGGCGTGGAGAGCCAATATAAGCACTGAAGATATCGAGGACTTTTTTGACAATTCCATCAAAGATGCCCTCTCCGGCGGCTCTCTCGCCGATGTTCCTAGCGACTCCCTTGCCTACGTTGACAAGTCCGGCGGTAATTTTTGCCTCCCTCTTTTTTATCCGCAGATTACCAGAGGATTTTCAATTTGTGTGCGTCTATAATTGCATGTTGTACTTGTGATTTTATGTGAGTGAAAGAAACAAGGAATGCATCATTGATTGAATGTTAACAAGGATTTCAGAATTGACTGAATTTTAACAAGGATTACCAAATTCATTGAATTGTTTCTTGAAAAAAATTTAGTTTTCTCAGTTTATGCTGTGTAACTATTATGTGTTGTTATTTACTAATCATTTCTTTATTCTGTATTTATTTTTATGTTCATATTTGATTGTTCTAACGTATTTTTATGTTTTCTTGAGTTGAGTTTTTTCGAAATTAGCGTCTCTACCTTTTTAAGTAGGGTGAAGGTGCATTACACATATCCTCAGAGACCCACTTGTTGGATTGCTGTTCCTTTGTGTTTCAAATTTCAAAATCATGAATTTGTTAGCATTATTATTTAGTAGTGTTTCAAGCAAAAGCCTAGAGGTGATGAATCGTATCGCCTTGTATTGGCATTGGGCTATATTGGCATTTGTCTTGAATATTGAAATATGTGATGCCAACAACAAAAACAACAAACACCGCTCCGTCCCAAATTTGTTGAGGAATGAGGATTGAAGGGTCAATATGCACACAATTTTCCCTTCTTAAAAATTAAGAGGCTGCTTCAGTTAGACCCTTATGCATCGTTGCATTCACTGACCAGAACTTCATAAATAATAAGATGAGAAAGTTAAATGTGTCATTTTTATTTAGTCCATTATTTACATGAAGGCAAACCATTATAAAAAATTGCTCTTTTAGCTCCATTGACAATGGACACACATAATGCCAAGTTTCTAACTAAATTCTGTATATTCGACTTCAAAGTAGTGAAGTGCTAATTTGAAAAGTTTTGGGGCTAATGATTTTCACTATATTAAACATTTAAAGAGCAAAGAAATTCTATGGTGGGGTTATAGAAGTTCATTCACCTATTAGGGGCTGGTGAGTGGTGAGTTTACACCACCAAACAATGATATGTCACCACCAAAGTTGTGAATGTGTAGCTTAAACAAGACTCAAATGTGTGGAATTTGATTGGAGGAATGGAGAAAGCCTCACATAACTAAACTTTTGGTTTAATGTTCTTGCTCTCCCACCCTTGACTCTCAATTGAACATATTTATATGTTTATTCTCCAGATATTCCAGCCAGGAAGAAAATTGAAAAAAAGAGGGACAAAATGCTTCATTATGAGAGTTTGCTGCAGAAAAATGTATTTGTTAAACCAGTACCATCTTCATGTACTAAAAAGTCTAAGATGAAAAGTAAAGGGGCTAAAAAGGCAGATGATTCTGCTCAAGTGTGTGAAAAGGTAAGGATTTATGATCTATTTTCCATGTCTGGAGAGATGTAGGCATGCAGTAAGTACATATAAGTCCCCCCCCCTCTACTGTATTGCCTACCAACCCCAACCCCAACCCAACCCCAACCCTAGTTCCACAGTAATCTTCATTTCTACGATATGGCAATTGATGATTGCTGACCTGCTTTTCAACATGATCCAGGATGCTGCTGTTGCTACTTGTTCTGGCATTGTTGGCATATGGAATGAAACAGGTATGCGTTTTTTAGTTATAAATCCATATATGGCTGTATGGCTGTATGTGCCTCAGCGACAGCCAATGTGCATTGTCATTTTGCCTGCAAATAAGAAATGGTTGTTAAGTTAGTCGGAACAATATTTAATTCAAGGTGTAACATTTAGACCCCATTCAGTATCGGTATTTTAGCTGTTGGCTGAATTCACTATTTTTTTAAAGTAGAGTTTGGTAAAATATATTTCTGCCATATAAGTTAGCCTTAAGCTACATATTCCGCTAGTTTGACTGTGAAATGGTCCCTTAATGTTGATGGATGGGATTAAGTAGTGGCCCCAATGAGACCACACTCAGATAGTGAAGAGTAGTAAGAGGATATTACTTATTTTTGTTGTGATGCCTTTGGGTTATTGACTTATAGTGTGGCATGCAGCCTCTCTTGTGCTATGGATGTTTCCGTGTCTGTCTGTGTAGTTGTTGAGTTTTTTTGCTTTAGATTGTAGGTGTGGTTTTGGCATTGGATTTGTGTCCAGCTCATATCCCATGAGTGTGTGTGGTGATATGATTATATCCCACCTCATTTTCTGTATTTTCAATTTATGCATTCAATGTATTTTTTCTCCTAAACAAAATCCACACCTAATAAAGAAACTTTATTTTTGTGGAGCATACTAAATTGCTGTAGTGGCCTATCTTTATTGGATAGTACGAGCAATTTGTCATTATGGTGATAGTATGCATTTCATGACTGAAGCTTTCTTTCTACTACTGTAGGTGAGCAGAATGTCAAAAGAAAAAAGGTACCATAATGTATTTGTTTATCAGGAAGAAATTCTTTTGATCCAGAAGATTGGTTCTCAAATCTGTTCCTTTTCCCTGTGGCTTATTACAGATGTCAAAGACTTCTATTATACCTGCAGTGGAAGTTGATCCACCAGGGTGCTCATTCAATCCACCCCCTGAAAGCCACCAGGTTTTTAAGAAACTGATTATCACATCTCTTCCTCAAATCTTGCTTTTATTGTTGTTGACATTGAATTTATGTATTCATCTCCTTGTGTTGCATTCAGGATGCATTAGCAGCTGCAGTTGCTGACGAAATGCAGAAAGTTTATCAGGATGAGTTGGGGCCCGAGCCTGTTCCTTTAACTGTTCCTGGAGATACAGTTGATGAAGAAAATGTTAGTCTGTCTGACTGTAGTTATTTAATGTTAATTTGAATTTTACTTCTCTTTTCTGTAAGTGCCCTACTCTATACAATTTCCAACAAACCTTTTTTCAGTTGTATTTTCTTGACGTGGATGATGAAAGTGATGCTGATGGTGAAAATATGGCAGAAGATGGAAACCTGGAACCAGAGAAGAGGTTTGTGATTTAGGGTCTGTTTGAATTTAGGGTTTTGGAGGGATTTGTTTATTTTCTTGATTCGGTAGATAGAATGTTTTAAACACAAATAAAGCTTGATCAGAATGCTTTAGAACAACATATTATGTTAATCTTTCATTTTTTTAATGAGATCCCCAATATATATCCAGATACTCCCTCCGTCCCAAAAGCGTTCCATCTTTGACTTGGCACAAACATTAAGAAAAGGAAAATTGTGTGGTTGAAAGTAATGGAGAGAGAAATTATAAGCACCACTTTTTTTCTAAAAGTAGAAAGTTGAACCTTTTTTGGGACAAACAAAAAAGGAAATGTGGAACCTTTTTATGGGACGGAGGGAGTAATAAACAAGCCATCCAAAGTACAAGCAGATCCTTCAGGAGGTATTGCCTTTTAATAGCATAAAATGCTCTTTAGTGATTGAAGGATAAGTGTTTAAAGACTGAAACTTGTTAACACTGATTCATATTATTGAGAGGTGATATCTGATTTGGTCCCTCGACTTTAAATTACTACTCAAACGAGTAAAAAAGAATGCCGATAGCGTAATTGAGTAATAGATACTTCAAGGAACAAATTGTGTACTAGCCAATACGAATGTATCCTAAGAGTGAATTCACAGTTACACAACATAAAACGATTGAAGTATATTACCAGAAATCTCATGAAACTCCAACTCTGATTGCAAATGGTCAAGGATGAAAAAAACCAAAGTGGTGACAAGAGTTGAAAAGAACAAGAGGGCCAGGCGCAAAGAACAGCTAAAAGCTGAAGCAGAAGCCCAAAAGGTGAAGAACCTTTCTAAAGAAATTGACAGGTATATTTCATTTGACTCTAGTGGATTAGTTCTTTGTTTACATGATCTCTTGTATAGTTGTATCTTAGAGATCATTATTCCTTTGCAGCGTGACAAATATAATTCAAGAAATAGCTAAAGAGGATGAAGAGAAACAGAAAAGACATCTCCGCCGTGTTGTTTCAAAACTAGAAAGGCTAAAATCTTGTCCACCGCGTCTTGGGAAGCGCAAGTATGGTTTTTTGTTTCCATGATCTCCACATAATTGTGGGTGGGGGTTGCAAGAGTAAAGATTATCTATATGCTGTAGTACTTATCTTAGCTATATTTATAATCTCCCTCTTTTTTGTTCGTCCTAAAAGAAACTTCGTACTTTCTCCATTTCCTTAAGGAATGTGTGGTACACAACATTTCTCTCTCCTCTAAACAAATTCCAACCACAATTTTTTTGCTCTTCAATAATTTTTTTAAACTCCTTGAAATCAACAAAGGAATTTTTTATGGCACCAAGGAAGTATTTTTACTTTTAAAACAAAGTGTATACAGAGTACATTCATAATCTATATTGTAAAAAATATTTCTATTTTTATAACTTATTATTGTGCATTTGTGCTAACTCTGTTAAATTACATACTCCGTATAAGTTACAGAAACTTTAATTTTTGTAAAAAATATTACTCTTTATAATAAATATTTAAGAGTGCTTGTTTTTAGCATAAATATACATGATTTAATTTTTAAAATATAAATTTGTAGCTAAAATAATGAAGTGGTACACAAGTGACTTAGGCAATCTTTACTCGGTTTGCAGGGGTAATTGTTGTGTTGGGACTTGGAAGTTGCACATCCTATTATTATTCACACAATAATGATAGTCAAACTAGATTCCCTTATTTTGTATCTCGCATTTCTAGTTTCTTTCTACAATATATGCAATCTGACTAGCTTATATCAATCTCAGATTTCACCCTGCTCCTGTTCAAGTTCTATTATCAGAAGAGATCACAGGTTCCCTCCGGCAATTAAAGGTTCTTTTTTTGACCCATCATTTACTTATACACGTTTCAGATTGTTGTTTGTTCTCTCTGTCAGTAATTTAAGTTCCCATTTCCTCTTAAGGAAGAAGAGCATGGTTCATATTATTTCTTCCTCCGCATATATCTCAATCACATGAGTTTACCTTTCTTTATTAATGAAGAAAATGGAAACTTAAATTTAAGACGGAGGAAGTATTTGACTGATTTGCAGTTTTTCTGATACTCTTTAATTAGTTTGTTTTGTTATGACACTGATACTTTTAAATTATATTGCAAAAAAAGGGATGTTGTACCCTCGCAAAGGACCGATTCAAGAGCCTTGAGAAAAGAGGACTTGTTGTCCCATCAAAAAAGTCTGGCAGGTCAGTTGTCTTTGCTGATTTAACTATCGTTTATTCTCCACCTGTAGAGCTTGTTTGGTAAATCAAAATTTTTGGCTTATCGGCTAAGCTCTCTACCCGAAACCAACTTATTCCACTGTGGTTTTTGAATTGTGCGACAATGAAAAAAATGCAGCACAAGAGTTGCTGTTTTGGCTAAAATGGCTGAAATTAAAGAAAATGGCATTCTTGCCTTCACTTCTAGATTTTATTTCATTTTATTTATTTAAGAAATACTCTCTTCGCCCCAATGTGTTTGTCTCCGTTGATTTTTCATGGTCTCCTAGTTGAATGTTTTTCTAATATTATCAAATACAGAGTACTAAGAATTGTAAAAAAAATAATAATTTAAAGTATGGTATTAGACAAATCTGACAATTTTCATCCTAGTGCTTAGTACAGAGAGATTTATGGTCATGCTACAGTCACACCACTGATGACATCAAGGTCGACACCATTAGTGTCCCATAGACTATAAGACAATGTTTGTGCATAATTGTCTTTTTGATGGTCTCTACTTTGGTGTAATCTCTGAGGTTAAAGTAGCAGTTTTCCTGTGTTGTTTTTTACATGTAATGTTTTCTCTCCCCAATGCATAAAACACCAGGTAGGGTAGTGCAGCCTTTTCATTTTCTGTCTTAATAATTGGAATTGAAATGAACATTTCAGGAGGTGATTGTGAATTCATGGACCAGTAGCTATGCCATTGGCGTATCGTATGAAGACTTCGGCAGTGACTACCCCGTCCCGGGTTTTTTTAAAATTAATTTTTGTTCTTCAAGTTTTTACTTTTTTACCACACTGGAAAAATGGGTTGTTGTAGTTCAAAAGTACAGTAGGAAACAAATATTAAGGTTTTAGACATGACTTTGGGAGAATTTTTTATTTATCTGAAAGTTATTTTTCTATATCCTTTGTATGATATCAACAAAAATACACAAGGTGATTATTGTTAGACCTTGTCTCTATCATTTGGGGGATTTACTCTATTTTAAATGATTATCTTTGGTTTTTAAACCAACAATTTTCTGAATAATGAGGCTTCTAGCCGTGTTTTTGGTTTATACATAAAAATTAGATACTCTGTAAGCTTCATTCGCTCATGAAAAACAATGTATTTTAATAAGCTTCATTCAATCATATTTAAAATTTTGGTATCTGGGAATAGGGTTTTGTTGGTATCTGACAATAGGATAAGGGAGAAATACTAAATTAGGACTAAAACATTGAAAATATACTAAAATAGGATTTTCATGTTTTTATTCTCGAAATAAGATTTACATTACCAAACATGGTCATATACATTACCAAAAAAGTATAGTAATTTGCACATGTACACTGCCACATTATCACAATGCAAAGTCACATTACCACAGTGCAAAGTCCTATTTCGGGAAAAAAACATGAAAGTCATATTTTGGTATTTTTCTCTATGTTTTAGTCCTATTTAGGATGATTTCTAATAGGATAACCCGTTCCGGACATCCCTTTTGATAATGGACCACGCAAAGTGCAACATGCCGTGGTCATCTCTGCGATCACTTTGAAATTGAGCCAAACTGGGAACAACATGAGATATTTTACAGCGGGTAACTGACAAATAGATCAGAGCTCAACTAGACGCCTATATATATTTATAAGGTTCATCAAACAAAGGGCTCTGGAAAATATTTCTACAATAATCAAATCATTTACATACACAAGCACATCAATACCCCCCCCCCCTCCCGCGCGTGCACACGCCATGGAAGAAAGAGAGTGAATAATTGGAGATGGATTACACAAAACCATATTGTTTCAAAGCATCAGGCAATTAGCAAACCAACATTGTGGTCATGTTTCTCTGCTATGTCAACAAAGAAAAAAATTTGTCGTAATAACATATACGTAAAAATTGGAGGACCGATTATTATGCAAAGATCAAAAAAGAATACTTGTCACGTCATAATAAAAAATTCATGTGACAAATGATTAGCAAGGTGATAGAGACAATAACATCATAAAAATGTGTGAATTATTGGAGTGATAGTGCCATTTAGTATTAAATTTGTGGAAGTAATGGTGTAAAGTACTCAATTAGCTAAAGTAATACGGTGGGGTTTCAATGACATTGAAACTCCATGTCATGGAATGAACCAGGATCGCTCCAGTGCCTCATTCATAAAATTAACGGTTACTACCTCTAACCCCCCAGTAAACCCTCATCCCGCCTCGACCCGAACACACCCCTTACCCCTTCAATTACACCCCACAAAATAATTTTGACTTTGAAATCAAAATTTGAATCCAAAGTCAAAATTAACTTGTGGGGGTGCAATTGAAGAGGGTGGGAGAGTGTGTTCAGGTCGAGTCGGGATATGAAGTTTACCGGGAGTAGAAACCATAAATTTTATAAACGGGTTATCAGAGCGCTCCCTAAGCAATGTCATGGAATGGTCCCGAAAGTAATAAACTAAAATTTTCCAAATTATAATAGCTCATAATTTTAATTCATTTTTGTTTTAAAATACTAGTGATGAGTTCCAGTTCAAACTTCAAAGCTGTTTTAGTTTGGGGGTAGGAAATTCAAAGCTCAACCATTTCTGCCTATATCTAACCATGCGCGCTCTCGCCGCCCGGCTCACCTCTGTAAGCTATATAGCTTTCATCTTGTTCTGGTTTAGTCTAACCCTAACCCTTCAAATTCTTGTTTTTTTTTTAAATTTTTACTTAAGATCAGTTTCTTATTTGATTCATCGATTGTATGTATTGTTTCAGCATATTTTAAGAAGAAAGCCTCGGAATGAACCGATTCAATCTTACAAGAATTTTTCTGCATCTAGCTATGGAAAAGGTATTGCTGTTTTTGATGTCTTGTATTCGTTTGATTCGTTTGAAGTATTGCTTGTTTAAGAACCCAATGAGCAGGATTTGTTGATAATTTTATATATATTTGGCTGAGTGATGAATTAATGGAAATAAGATCTAAAATTGATGGTATACATTTTATCTGCTGCAAAAATGTCATCCAAAAAAAGGAATAATTTTTCGTTCCACGTTCTTTTTTCATTACTGCAATTATCTGCACTGCTTTCTCTTTTGTAGAAGAAGGATCTATAGAAGAAGAAGCTGAAAGGAAAATAGGGTGGCTATTGAAACTAATTTTTGCTGGGACTGCAACGGCGGTAGCTTATCAGTTTTTCCCGTATTTGGGTGTGAAGAAATTTCTAATGTAGAAGTATTAGGGTCTGTTTGGTAAGCCCAATGAGGTTTGTTTGGCTGCTTATCAACACAATAAGTAGCTTTTGACGTATTTGGCTCAAATGTATGATACTCCACCAAACCATTTCAGCCAAAATAAGCCTAACCAAACGGGCTCTTAGTTTTTCTAGTTTTCTAATGTGCATTTTGGCAATAATATACATCATGACATTTTCAGGAGACAACATGATGCAGCAGTCTGTGACACTTTTACGAGTCAAGGATCCATTGTTCAAAAGAATGGGAGCGTCCAGATTGGCCCGTTTTGCCATTGATGGTGTGTTTATTTGATTTGGCGTTCACTTCTTGTAGATGCATAAGATTTGTTCAATGTCTTTTTATGCTTTACCATTAAACTTTAAAGAATTTTGAAGAGGAACATTTTTTGAAGAGAAACATTTTGATTGAACTTTATTAACTTTAAAATGTTGGGAGTGCACTATCTGGTGGATAATACAAGCCCTAAGAGCTGTTGAAATAATGTGTCTAGTAGACTTTAAGGTTCAATCCCAAAAAGCTTTGGGTAAAAATGGACTTCATCAAATGGCACATTGAACTTTGCTTGCTTCTTACTTTCTATGAGGTTACATCTTTTTTTTCTACTGGGGTAAGGTTTATTGCCCAACAGAATTGGGATTATACTGATTTTGTTGTTATTGTATAATATCTTTATATATCTTTCCCGGGATCTCACTCTTTAAAAAATTATAATTCCTCCACACTGTTCCATGGAACCAAAGCATAACATATTTTTAAAATTATCCATTTACCCCCCCCCCCCTCTCTTTCCATCTAGCCAAGCAAAGGCTAAAAGCACTATGGAGAGTCGTGTTATACTTATAATTGAAACTTGAAATGTGTTGGTGTGAACTTCATGGGTCTCTTAGATGAAAGGAGGATGAAAATTATTGAAATGGGTGGAGCTGAAGAACTTGTAAAGATGTTGGAGGCTGCTAAGGATGACCGCACAAGGAAGGAAACTTTGAAGGCTCTTTTTGCAATCTCAAAATCAGGTACGGCTGGAGTGAAGCCTTGCATATATTATTGAAGCGGTCGTCGATCCAGGAACAATCCCCCCCCCAAAAAAATGAACTATTGAGTATCCATTTTGTGTGTCAAATCCTCTGCTATTTCTGCATTTCATCATTGAGGACTAATTCGTCTGTGTTTTTGTTCTGGCAGTGGAAGCTGCTGCAGTGTTGCATCGTGCAGGGGCAATATCAGCAATCAAGTCCACCCCAAGCGGTTCTTCCCCGGACGATGACTCTGAAGTCGAGAAGTACAAGTCACATTTGTTGGATAGGTTCCATGAACTAAGATATGATGCAACATCCACTTGACATTGTAAGTTTCATATTTTCCCTTTATGTTGATCCATCCTTCGCACGAATGGCATGCAATTCATTGTGTTATGAAGAGAATTCGTGCATCAAAGATTGCTATGGATGTTAATACTTGCACTTCTGTCAGATGAATCACATATACTTGCATTCCATTTGGAAAATTGTTTCAATTCTTCAAATTCACACTCTTTCAATACTCTTAAGCCTTGTGTTTTTTTGTTGAACACAAAGCTGTGGAGTCTCTCCAAAGAGAAGAAAATTTATATTTGTGACGATTATAACCCGAAATGGTTCAATGCAGACTTGTGCTTAATGACTAGCTACATGAAGAAGTTTTCTTTTAAGTGTGTAGTTGTGTAGGACATGTCCAAAGTCAATTGACATTTCCTTTGAAATCTAGGGATTATTATTGAGCTATTACCATTAGTTCATTTCATCATTTACGAAACGGAACATTTGAAAAGTTGAGACGTGAATTTTTTTTTGGTGTGAGTCTGGTGTGAAGTTATAATAATCAATAGCGTAGCCAATTAATCATGTTTCCCTTAGCTTAAGGGTATGCTATAGTGACATCAAATATAACACCAGAAATGACACCATTGTGTCTCACATACACACACTGACATTAATTGTCTATGCTAAATTATGCATGAAACACATTCGCGTCGGTTTTGGTGTCATCCTTATTGTCACTACATTTTATCCCTTAATTTTTTTGTGACGGTTTTCCGTTACATTAATGCTACTATAACTCTAAGCTTCATACTCTAGGAGAGAATCATATGTGAGTTTGTTCATAAAGGTTGATTGATATTGTAAATCTTTATGTTCATGGATACTTGTGTCGTTTGTGTAAAGTGCGAACTAATTCGTAGACTAGTGTCATTAGTAAATCCAATCTCGATCCGACTTGGTTTGGGTTTGGTTTAGTTAAATCGGGCCAGGTTCAAATATTATTTTATCGGTTAAGATTCCGATTTTGGTCGGGCCAAGTCGGTATAGGTCAAACTTGGATTTGGTCTGGTTTCGAGTTCCTGTTCAATTGTCATCCCTGGACTGTGATGATGACGGAAGATGTGGAAAATGGACCTCAGAGGCATGAGGTTTTGACGAGAGGTTACGTTAGGGTTCGATTTAGACAAAATTTATGTGTGTAGTCGGGTCAGATTGGGTCGGTGAATTCACCGATCCAAACCTGATTTGATTTAGTTTGTGTTCAAATTTCATTGAAGTGAGTCGGGTCTGGATAAAATTTTCTCAGGTTGAATTATGTAATTTTAATGTCGTGTCGGATCGATTAAAGTTGAATTCGAGTTAAATCGTCATCCATACCATGGTCATTCTCATTCCATTCTTTTCAAACATTGATTGAGTTTTGTGGTTTGATATCAAATGGAAGTGTGCATAGGGGGGATAAGTAGGCCATGTCACATCCCCATCTAATCTTAGCCCATTCTTTTCATTCCATTCTTTTCTTTGACCATTTTCAAATATTCTTTGGAGTATATTTTTTTTAATTAAATTTGGACTTTGGTTAGAGCTAAATTTAAAAGGTTATAACTCCAGTCCTTATCAGACATATTCTAATTTATCATTATAGTTTGCTCTTGGGAGAGCTTGTCCCTCTCTATTTTGTTTTTCTTCTATTTTGATAAATTGAATTGTGTTTCTACCCCCAAAAAATAATCATTACAACTCGATTTTTTGCCGTTGACAAAATTACAGCTCGATTTACCTCATTCACCATTGTAATTTAGAAAAAGAGAATAAACTAGAAGTAAAATATTGAAAATTACTAAAATAGAAATTTTATATTTTTTATTTTCGAAATAGGAGTTAAAATGTAGTTATATTACCAATCATTTCTATGTATATTACTAAAAAGTATAGTAAAATGTTTATGTACAATGCCACATTATCACAGTAAGAACTCCTTTTTAGAATATACAAATTTGAAACTCTTATTTTGATATTTTCTGTATGTTTTACTCCTATTTAGAGTAATTTTTTTTGTAATTTATTGAGCATTTTACACCCTCTGTCTCAAAATGTTAACAATTTACGTAAACTAAAATGAAATTTCAACTTTTTAAAATTTATTTTATTTAAAGATTGGTACTCCTATAAAAGTTAAAACGAAACATACATATCTAAAAAATTACATTAAAGTTTTATAAAACAAGAAATGACAGCAATCTGTTTGCCAGCATGCCTAGAGGGGTAAGGTATACAACTCAACAGGGTTATGAATGGCTTCTAGGCGAACATCCCAAACCAATATGGACAGACTGGTTTTGGAACAGGGAAACACTGCCAAAGTGCCAGTTTATAATGTGGCTAATTATGCGTGGGCGTATACAAACAAACGTTAGACTGGGGAGAGTTATGGAGTTGGACACAACATGTTTCTTTTGCCAAAACGGGGAAGAGGACATTTCTCATCTCTTTTGCAGGTGCGAGTTTGCCAAGGATGTGTTAGGCCATATAGCTGAATGGATGCAGACAAAACTAGAAGGGGATGATATTGTAGAGATGGCAACGGGCATAACAAAGAACAACCCCGGGAAGAGAAGGAAGGAAGTGCTAGCTGGTTGGGCCACAACGTGCTACTATATATGGAGGGCTAGGAATTGGAAAAGGCATGATAAAGAAGTTCAAATTCAGGAGATAGTTAGTACCATTAAATATCATTGTTCTGTGACATTTAGTAGATAGAAGGGTGGGTAGAGAAAGTGTTGGAAAATGATGTGGGAGTTTGTGTAATACTCGATGTGTTTTGGTGATTATATATATAGCATTTTCGTTTCAAAAAAAAAAGAAATGACAGCAATAGTTTATTTTATCAAATAGTCAATTAAAGCAAATAAATAAATAAAAATTTCTATGATTTTTGAATATTAAAGAGCGCAATTCTATTAAGGAGAAGGGAGTATCTAATTTGGACTTTGGCTGTATATAAAAAAAAGGGGACATTGGTACGATGCTTTCAACTCCGTAAAATGGTTTGAGATTTTATGTGACGAAAATGGGTTAGCTATCTCCGTCCCCCTCTATTTGTCCACTTTCATTTTTACACACCATTCAATGCATTTCTTTAATCCATTTTATCTTGTAATTTGTATATTAAAAAATTATAAAAATTATATATTAATAATCTATATGTTAAGACAAATCAAACAAGATCACACATGACTATATTTAGGCTTACACATTGAGAGAATTTGATGAGTCAAAATGCTTAGATGAACAGTTCCAAAAGTCAAATGTGGACAAATACAGGGGGACGGAGGGAGTAATATTTTAAGATTACGTTTCAAAAAAAATTATCGATATTTCATTAAATATTGAAACAAAATGTATTTTTTGTGTATATCGAGATAACTAGGTCAAAATTTATAATGCTAAATTATGCTAAAAGCCTACCAATGGTGCTCTCATTTGTGACAATCATAAACGATTTTATACAAACACAATAGTAATTATTTGTGTTATAAATTATCTGTGATTGTCATCTATGTGACAATGAAAAGTGGATTTCTAGCATGGTCTATATCACTAAGGTGTGATAGAATATGTCATTGATAAAAATTTGTGAAATGGTTGTCATTCGAGATTCGTTTTGACTTCTATGACAAAAACTTTGTTAGGAAGAAATTTTGTGACTTATGTTTGGAGGATCCTAGTTTTGAAATCACTTTAATTATGTAAATAATAAATAAATAATTTATAGTGTGTGTGTGTGTATGATACAATGAAGTTTATGGATTGAAATAAATTGCCTAATAAATTTGGTTTTATTAGTATAAGTATGTTAAATAAAAACATACGGAGTAACATAAACATGATTTTGGCAGAAAGAAGTGGGCTGTGGGCGCTCTAACACTAATTTTACACACGTTTACGTCCATATTCATTAATTTTCTCCATTTTGTCGTTATCCGTAATTGTGTAAATATGCACTCTCTTTTTCTTTTTTAAATCACCCGTTCTTGTTTTTGAGTTTTGATTGAAATTATTTTATGAAATAAAAAATAACTAAAAAATCATTAAATTTTAATTATGAAAATAATATATACTCCCTAAATAATTTAAATTGGGATGAAGAAAGTGTAAAAAAGTCATTTTCTCACAAAATTTGGTTAGTTATATAGAGAACTCCGTATCAATAAATATAAGCCAGTTAGGCGCACCAATAATTTCAACGGACATCGCGGACCGGAGATTTTAAAAAGAAAAAAGAAGAGCAAAACAATCTCCGGCATGTCACCGGCGGTCGGAGCCGCCGCACCTCTGCTCACGAGGAGAGAGACTCCGGCGGAAAGAAGGCTGCTGATATGCAGGGCGGTGTTCAACGTCAGCACCACCATCATCGGCGCCGGAATCATGTCTATCCCCGCCACCCTCAAGGTAAGACTAGCTTCTCCGCGCCGCCCTCCTACAGTGTTTCCTATCCCCCCAAAAACCCCACCCCTGTAAAATAAGAATTCAATTCCAAATTGAGAATTTAAAATTCTCTTCATGTAATATAGAATTTAAAAATCTGAAATTGGAACATTTGAAATTAGAATTCAATTCCAAATTCACATATTTATTTTCGTGTGCTGCCAAACATTAGAATTAGAATTAGAATTGAATCCTCCAATTTTAATTTCATGGCTTGAATTTCGTGTACCAAACGAAACATAAGGTTAATTGAATGAATGGAATCTACTAATTGTTTTTGATAATTTGAGCTTCTAGCTCATCAGTCTCAGGTTCTGAAAGTATGCTGAAACAAATCATAATTGAAAGAACTCTTGAGAACAAGTAAATGCATTTCATAGGTTGGTTTGTATATTTGTATGTATGATTGCTCATCCAAATAAATGGGATATAAGGTGGTGGGTGTGATTCCGGCGTTCATTTTGATGGCGGTGATGGCGGTGCTGGTGGATATATCAGTGGATTTCCTGTTGAGGTTCACGTACGCCGGGAATGCAACGACCTATGCGGGTTTGATGAAGGAGTCGTTTGGAAAGATGGGATCTTTGCTTCTGCAGATCTGTATAATTATCACTAGTCTTGGTTGCTTGATCATGTACCTAATTATCATTGGTGAGCATTGCAAAATATTTTCTTGATTAGTTTTCAAGCTTGTAACATAACAACATTTGGTCAAGTTTGAATGTTTTTTTTGATATATGTATATCAGGTGATGTTCTGTGTGGGAATGGGTCACCGGACCATTTGGGAGTTTTGCAAGAGTGGTTTGGCAATCACTGGTGGAATTCCCGCGCTTTCGCCATCTTTTTCGTTGTTCTGTTTGTCATGTTACCTCTTGTTTCGTACCGCCGCGTAGGTGAGTACTCTTTTACCCTTTTCAAGCCCTACTTTTATGTGATTTTAGTGGGTATCTTGTGGCATTGTACTTCGATAAAGTTTAGCACCCTTTTCCTCGGGGGTATAGTTTAGTTGGTCAATAGTGCAAAAGGGGTAATGTCGAGATAGATAGACCGCAATCTCTATTGATCAGTCTAAGATTAAAGTTCAATTTACTTGCTTCCAGACTCTCTCGTTGGCAACCATTATATATGTTTGTTGATGATTGATATAGATTTGTGATTTGCAGAGTCGTTGTGGTGGAGTTCGGCGCTAGCAGTAGTGCTCGCACTTGTGTTTGTCGGGGTGTGTGTAGTAATGGCAATCTGTGCCCTCGTTAATGGCGAAACGCAGACCCCGAGGCTCCTTCCTCGCCTACCCGACGGCCCTTCCTTCCTCAACCTTTTCACCGCGGTTCCTGTCATTGTCACGGCATTCACCTTTCACTTCAATGGTAGGTGATTCGTTACTCCATTCCAGAACCGGTACCGGGTCCACCCCGGGCGTAAGAAAAATAATGGTCTCTTTGGCATTCTTTTTTTGTTTGTGTGTGATTGGGATTGACATTAACAAGAGAATAGAATGCCTGCAGTTCATCCCATTGGAATAGAGCTAGGCAAGCCTTCAACAATGGCTACCGCAGTGAAGATCTCACTCCTACTCTGCGCCCTCGTCTACTTCTCCATCGGCATTTTCGGGTACCTCTTGTTCGGCGAAGCCATCAACGCCGACATACTAGTGAACTTCGCCGCCGCCGGAACCTCCTCCGGATCCGCCACCGGCGCCGTCCTGAACGACGTCGTGCGGCTGAGCTACGCCTTGCACCTGGTCATGGTCTTCCCCTTGCTCAACTACCCGTTAAGGTCGAACATTGATGAACTCTTCTTCCCGGAGAAGAAGCTTCACTTGTCAAACGACACGGTTCGATTCGCGTGCCTCTCGTTGGTGCTGCTGGCGCTGGCGTATGGTGCCGCCGTTCTTGTTCCGAGTATTTGGTACATTTTCCAGTTCTTGGGATCCACCTCCGCCGTTTTGCTCGCCTTCATCTTCCCCGGCGCCATTGCTCTCAGGTACTCCTTTATGTTTGTATCTCAGTTACTCGGGGTTGATCAGATTCGACCCATTTTTTCGGGTCATTTCGGGTTCGATCTCCTTCGAGTTCGGTTCATAAAATCTTTGTTCAAAACTCGGTGCTTTTAGGCTCGGGCAACTTCGTATCATTTCATTCCTACATTTTGGTCACATACATGCTATATGCTACAATTTTCGTTATAATAACGATCACAACGATGGAATTGACAGGGATATTCATGGCATTTCAAGTAGAAAAGATAAGATAGTAGCAACAATTATGATCATTCAAGCCATTGTTACCAGCTGCATAGCCATATCCAGCAATGTCTACAATATCATCACTGGAGCCAATTCTTAGCTCATCTCTCTTATATTGTTCTCTAATATATAGCTGAGTGGCAAATACACACACACACACACACACATGTATGTATGTATGCATGTATGTACTTCTATAGAGGTATAATAACCATCATTGCCTGCCCGACTCGGGCAAATTGGGCACTCGTTCTGCCTGAGTCGGGCAAGTAAGCTTGTCTTGCCCGACGACCACATTTTATTTCGTGGTTTTTTTGTAAACTCTTCAATGGGTTTTATCTCTTTTTTCAACATTATGGCATATAGAGGATTAATGATCGAGGTGCTTAAAGGTAATTAAATATAAAATGTTTATGTGATCGTCGGGCATGATGAGAATGTCTGAAGTGAATATATGCTTCTCTTTCGTTTTCGCGGGATGAATCGTGAAACATATATGTTGTGAAGTGAATATATGCTTCTCTTTCTGAGTGTATGCATTGTGTTTGTAGTTTTTTCAAATGCAAACTTATTGTTGCATATACTAGACTCGTACCCGTGTGATGCACGGGCTATTAATTGACATATAATTACTCAATGTTTTGAATAACGAAAAATGTTACAAAAACTTGAAAAGATTATATAAATTGAAAAAATAGAAAAAAAGAAGGGGAGTTTTGGAAGTGTTAAAAGTTTTGAAACGTTTTTTTACAAACTATATTTGTTACTTGGTAACATGAAGAAAGGTCTTTATTGCAAATCAAAATCTTTAACACTTTCCGTGCGTCGCACAGTAAGAATATTTAACTATTATTTTAAAGAAATAATGAAAAAATTTTACACGTATGATATAAATAAATTGGATTCAAATAAAGTGGATGAGTGAGAAATTAAAAATGAATTTATATGATAGATCATAACTTAATAAATATTTGAATCACCGTTTTTGGTTTTCAACATTTTACTCAATTTCATTTCAAATCATTTAATATGAAAAAATATGTAGAATTAAAATGCAAAAATTACATATTCTAAAAGTACTGGGGAAATGACTATATTATTGAATCAAATTAGAAAATCAAATAAAAAAAGTGATTGAAGTTTAACTGTGAGAAAAGTTCACATGTAATTTAATTATAGTTTGAGGGAGTAAATTATGTTCATATAATTCATCCATGTTTATCCGACCTAGTAAATATTAATTCAATAAATATACTACCCCTTTCTTGAGTATTTGTCTATATGTCCATATTTAACTATTTTCCATCAAGCTTNAGAAAATCAAATAAAAAAAGTGATTGAAGTTTAACTGTGAGAAAAGTTCACATGTAATTTAATTATAGTTTGAGGGAGTAAATTATGTTCATATAATTCATCCATGTTTATCCGACCTAGTAAATATTAATTCAATAAATATACTACCCCTTTCTTGAGTATTTGTCTATATGTCCATATTTAACTATTTTCCATCAAGCTTGGTAAACTTTGACCTGAAAAAAATAAAATTGAAACAATATAGTATTTTATATATTTTATAGAAATTGTATTAGTCCTAAGCCCAATGAATCGTCTGGCTCAAATATATTCCCGGCCCAAGGATATAAATGAATCCCTACTCTTCATTTCCGCCGCTACGACCCTCTCTTTCTCGATCCCTCCTCTTCCGCTTCATCTCTTTTGTTGCTCATCCATAACTCTCTCTCTCTCTCTGGTACTCTTTGATTGTTAAAGTATTTGAATTTCATATCCGCCGATTCATTTCGTCGATATATATATATATAGTGGCATGTTGATATAAATATTACTATATAAAAATGATATCTCTGAAATTTTTTCAAACCTTATTTTGTGTACTCTTAGATATTACATATTAAAAAATATATATTCCTTTTTATATATGTATCGATATGTGTGTGATGATATATGACATTGAAAATTGATTTTGTGATTCGTAGGCTTTTAATGTTTGAGGCATCGAAGAAAATGAACGTATCTTGGCGTGGCATAACGGAATTAACCCCCGTTGTTGCAGCCATGTTGATTTCATTTTTTATATTGCCTCAAACTTAAAACTGGATTAAAAAATCTGAGCCTCTATTGTATATTATGTGTATATGTACACGTGCTGGATGACTACAATATATATGTGTGTGTGTGTGTGTGTGTGTGCACTTTATATATATAATGTAAAGAAGGAAACACCATTGCCATTGACGTGGAGAGCTGGACGCAGAATGAGAAATGGAAATATTGAGATGATTTTTGAGAAGTTTATTTTTTAGGAATGAAGTTCACATCATTATGCTCGAATATATATATATATATATATATATATAATACATGCTTCATGATACCTTTAACCATTCATTAAATGGCTAGATATTTAAAATCTTTAAAATGGATAGATTTGACACAAAGTTACTTTTTTCCTAAATCTACTTTATGGAGCCACTCAATTTTGTTTTTCTCCAATGCAACTTTATGAAGCCACTCAATTTTGTTTTTCCCCAATGCAATTTTATGGAGCCACTCAATTTTGTTTTTCTCCAATGCAACTTTATGGAGCCACTAAAATTGAAAAGACATAAAGCAATTTTATTGAGTCCCACACCACGCCAGATCTAAAACCGAACAACAAAGTAGGCCCAAACCCGTCATTTACAGAGCCTGGTCCAAACCCGATCCACCAAGCCTTTAGTTTAGGCGGGAACACTGTTCACAAATTGCACCTAGCATTGTATATAGTAGGATAGTAGACATTTGACAAAAAAAACTTGATCTCCCAATCCGGTTTAGAAAGACTTTCCTGTTGCAGATTACAATACTTGATTGATGGTATTTTCAATCCAATTTATATGAAAATTTACACCAAATTAAGAATTTTACCGTGCAAAAGAAGAGGTGATAACATTTTATTAATAAAATGTGTAATAAGCATAGAAAAAAAACTAATTAAAACTCGACCTTGTGTATAGAGAACATGAAATCATTTTTGTGATAGAGGGAGTAGAAAATGTGTATACAAACTTATACACGAAATAAAATGATGAAACTGAGATTTTTATTTTCGACATGAGTTTAAAATGTGTATATTTCTAAACAATGGGATAAATTTTCTTTAACTTTTTAAGTCTCGAGACCATTACATCTACACAAAAACCTCTCAAATTAGTTAAACAGCTTTTGTGTTACATAGGTTCTTATAATAATACATAAGACTGACTATAAGCACTCTAAACAAAAATGTAATTTCAAACAACCAAACAACAAAAAAGAATGTAAATTCAAGCAAAAAAAAAATCACTAAGAGAAGAAATCAAAGGCTTATTGTTATGATCCTCCATCAATGGCATTGATTATAACTAATAGCGAAACGACGAAAGCATAATCGACGCCAGGGAAGACTCTTACATCAAACCTCTCTATGCCTTTGAAGAAGTTGCCAATCTTCTTCTCTTCCTTCACCTGCATAATATTTTTGTTACACCAATCGGCACGGATCCTTTGACCTTAGAAAAAATGACTTGAGAATGACCCGAGCATTTTGGGGAACCTATGGTGGTCTATTAGTAAAATAGATGGTTTCTACCCCAAATCCTCTCCTAAACCCTCCCCCCAGCCCCCACCTAGCAAGGGAAGGAGTGGGTTGGGGGTAGGAACCATCAATTTTACCCACGGAAGACCGTATGTGCTTGGGTCATTCTCGGGTCGCTTTTTTCTAAGGTCGAAAGAACCATGGCTTACACCAATTAGTAATCACCATTGTTCTAAAACAAAATGTGAGAGGCTAAGGGAAGCAAAGGACACATCGTACATACCTCAGCAATCACATTATCTCCTTGGTAGACTTTGAAATTCTGAGAAGCATAGGAACCCTTAACGTGGAAATTACAGATATCTCCCTGGTTGCTAGCCATGAAAACATCCAGTCTGACTTTCATCCGAATATATTTAGTTTCTCGGACCGTGTATAACAGATTCTCTTCAGCTGAACTTTCTCCCTTGTAAACTTGCCAAACATTCCTTAAGGCAAGAGTCTGCAGAAGTGCAGATTAATCATTCAATCATCACTTCACTCATAGTGAATAACTGGATGAACTTCATCCCTAGGTCCCCTTGCAGATTAATCTCTCTACCCGTTAAATAATGCTACACAAATTCATATTCCAGTCTCTTAGGACCACGCGTACCCTCACCCTAACCCCGCATTAGTATGATAATGTCCGTTCTGGGGTCAAGCTCTCAGAATTTGTTTTTGGGCACCTCCCAAAACACCATGTAAATGTTGGTTCTCCTCCTCTTGTTCTTCCGGTGTGGGAGATGGTTTGTTGTGCTACCCAACACATTCTTAGGCTTCGTTTGGGAAGAGTATTTTCACTTAGCATTTTGGATTACGTTTTAATGGTAGAGCTAAACTTTGAAAACACTAAAGCTATACATTGGAATTGTTGCCAAATAGGCACTTAATCTACATGTAGGTACAAAATTTCATCCATCTTTTTGCAGAAGTATTTCATGAATTAGAACTTCTAAACTATGCAAATCATTTAGCAGATGTGTGATAAACACAAATAAAAGCTCAATCATCACAAGCATAACAACAAATAAACACATTAAAAGCTCAATCCAAAAGTGATAATTTTTTTCCCCAAAATCATCAAATTTCCATCCCTACACCCAACAATCCCAATTCACAGTTCCCCCAATTCTGGCCTCTGTTCAGGAATTAGGTCAAAGAGATGTACCTTGGCGCGCATAGTGACGACGGGGAGGCCGAAGGGGTCAGAAATGGTCCGTTTCTTCTGCAACAACCGCCAGAGCCTGCCGTGGACTCGGAGGAGAGGGCTTCCATTGCCGTCGGAGACGTCGAACTGGAGAGAAGAGACGCCGTAAATCCCCTTCTTAGCAGTCAAGTCTACCAGGTAAGGGAAGCAGAAGGCCTCCCCGACGACGGCGATGAGCGGCACGTCGGTGGTGATCTCCGGCCTGAACATCGCAGATCCGAAATTAAACAGAGGAAAGGGATTGATGTAACAGAAGTGAACCGGGAAGGTTCTTCATCTAATAGAAGGTTTGAAAATGGAGAAAAGGGATTGATCCCTTTATTCAAACGCGTTAGATCAGCTCCACCCATTGTTCCGGTCAAGGCGGCTGAGCTGAGCTGAGCTGGTAGATAAACACGGAGGAACAGGCTAAAAGTAAAAATTAAAAAAAAAAGATAGCTCAAATTAGAAAGTTCTCCTTTTTTATTACTATCTTTGTACACGAATAAATTTTCCGTTGCGCGTTACGATGTTTGACTGTAGATATTTTCAAATTATTTTATATAAAAAATAGTGTAAAATTTAAAAATAAAAATTATATATTAAAAAACTATATCAAAAGATCTATAAAACTAGAGGTGACATGACTATATTATTTTAACAAATGGGAAACAAAAATAGGCCGACAAAGAGATTAAAATTTGACCATGTGAATAATAAATGAAAAGTCTATTTGTGGACGGAGGGAGAATTACTTCATCTCTCCCTAAAAAATTGAAAGTCAAACTATAGCACCTTTGTTCGCAAATTCTGAAAAAAATATACTTTTTCTGCCCAACAATAAAGATCACGTTTACTATTCACAATGTTAAACTTTAACTATTTTTGTTTCCTATTTCATAGAATAATATAGTCATGTCACCTCTTGTTTTGTAAAATGATTTGAAAATAACTTCAGTCAAACATCGTAATGCTCAATTGAAACTTTATTTATGACCAGATAAAGTATTTAATTATAATATAAATTTGGTAAAATTGAGTTTATTTTAAAATTTAGTTTTGAAATATCAATTTTTTATAATATTTAACTATTTTAAACTATATTTCTTTTGTAATCAAATAGTGTCACATTTTACCAAAAAAGTCAGATCTTGCAATCTTTTAGGGACGGATGAAATATTATTACTCCGTATTATTATCTTTATTACTCAATATGTATTATTATTATTATTACCACTCCCTCTGTCCACAAATAAATTTTACGTTCACTATTCATAGGGTCAAACTTTATTCACTTTGTTGACTTATTTTCGTCACCTATTTGATAAAATAATATAGTAATGTCACCTCTAGTTTTGTAGATCTTTTGATATAGTTTTTTAATATGTAATTTTTATTTTTCAATTCTACACCATTTTTCATATAAAATGATTTGAAAATAACTTCAGTCAAACATCGTAACGCGCAATGTAAAGTTTATTTGTGGACGGAGGGAGTATTATTATTGTTAGAGTTTTTTCGTTATTTAGTCTAAAACTTTTCAAGAATTTTTTGTTTTTTACGCATCTCAATATACACTTCTCCATGCCTAAAATATCTAGAATAGACCATATTTTTTTATTACCGGCAGAAGTTACTTTTGACATTTTAAATAGGATATGAGTGTTTATCAGACATGCAAAAAAACAAAAAAAAATTGTTTTTTCATATAAAGAAAGTATAAAATACACACTCCTAAGTTCTCACATTTCCCAAAAGTCAAAGATGAAATTCTTGTATGAAACTAAGGATCCGTTTAGTATACGGAATTAACAAAATTGAAATTGAATTGGAATTAAAATTCTAAAAAATTGAATTCAATGGAATTGAGTTTTTGAATTCCAATTCATTTTTCGCATTACCTATTTTGAAATCACATATTTTTATATTACCAAACACTAAAATTAAAATTGAAGCGTCCAATTTCAATTCCACGGCTTGAATCCCGTGTACCAAACTGAGTGTAAGGAATATGAACTTACCCCTCTCTCTCGTAGTCTCCCAAACTATTCACTCGATCTCAAGCAGCGATATTGAACCTAGGCCAAAGCCCAACGGCCCAAGATGGGTTGGACTTTTAAAGGACATGTACGTACGGGCCCACTTCCCACTGTAATGCCTCCCCTCGTATACGCCAAGAATATCAGATCTCCTCTTCCAACGCCTTCCATACGCCGTCCGAACCAAAAAAACCAGATTTTTTTGTCTTGAATAAATTACTTAGTCTTCATATTTCAGCCCAAATTTCTTGGTCTGAACAAAAACCCACCCAGAATTTTCAAAACCGTTTCTTTTGAATTTCTTTTTTTCCCCAGCAGAGAACAGCAAAGCTGCTTCTTTTACTCCTCCTCATTCCAGAATTAGTTCAAAATCTGGAAACTTTGGTCAATGGGTTCATAAATTGGGTAAAGAATCAGTCTCTGGTTCGGTTCCCATCGATTCTTGATCTCTCCAATCTGCAATTCCATGGAAATGTTGCAAAGGGTATGTCAAATCTATTTACTCCGTATGTATTTTGCCCAATTTGATTATCTTATTCTGCTCAATATTTGCATGTATGTGTTATGGATTTATGGGTGTGAAATAGTTCATCATTTTCTGCTGAATCCCATGAACCAGATTCCAGATGGTTATCTAGAAATACTGTTTTGATGTTATGATTCAGTTTTGTTGACTTTTTTTCCCAATTTGGAAGCTGATTTAAATACATCTAGGCTGAAATATTGATCTAACCTATACCTACATAAAATTAATTTGTTCATTTTGTCTCTGAAGAGATAAAGAAAAGTGTTGAAAAAACAGTGTTTAGAATTTATTTAGAAGGGTGGAAAGTATTTTGGATCATACTCCCTCCATCCAAAAAATGTCACACTTCACTATTTGAAAATCGGGAACTTTTGTTTGTGTGTTTTGATTATTTATTTTATACTCCGTAAAATAAAATATTCTTTGTTTAGTAGAACTTTTGACGTAGTTTTCTAAACATGTAAGTTTTATTTTTATTTCTGTACAAATCTTTAAATAAATAGTATTAAAGAAATTTAAATTTTTGCTTCGTTTTGCGTAATATATCACTCTATTTGGGACGGAGAAAGTATATTCTTTTCATAAAAGAGAGAAAGAGTGAGAAAATTATTATGGGACAGAAAAAAGAAGAAGCTGGGAACCAAATTTCTCGTTTCTTTTTTCTTCTAAACAAATTTCGGTGACACTTTTAAAACTTCGTGAAAGTCAAACTGTGAAGTTTCTAATGGGATTGCAGGCTGAGGGGTCATATCTTTTTATGAACATGTTAAGCTAAAAGAAAAAAAATAAGACTTGCTGAGATGAATATGTTTTCTAGTTGATGATTTGGCATAAGAACTTGAATTGAATTCGAATATAAACCAGCATTTAAAAGTTCAAACTTGTATTGTTTTGCAGTTTCTTGATTGTTAACTGCAAATTTTAGAAGAAACGAAGTGGAAATGATCCGACGAGTAAATATCATCAACATTTTTTTAGCTCAAGAAAACTGATCGAAAGCGAGGATGGTCACCATTGATATGAGCATGAATGAGGGTAATGGAGTTGAGGAATCTGCTAAATCTGATAATACTGCCTTACACATTTCTTCATCACAAAGAGGACTCGTAACCGATGGAGTTCCACAAAAAAAGTTTGATGGAGGCTCTCTCGCCGTGCCAAAGAGGCTACAGTTCCTTAATTTTGGGAATTTGTCTTCCCCTTCTGCCAAGTTTCAACAGATCACCGAGGAGAGAGATGAGATTTCCCGTTCTGTCCCGTCTTCTGGAAGCGTCCGGGAACGCTTGAGCCGTCTCTTCTCGAGGAAAATCGATTGGGTCTCTTTGCGCAAGATGTGCAAGGAATGGATTAGGAATCCGATGAACATGGCGCTTCTTGTTTGGATCCTTTGCGTCGCCGTCTCGGGGGCGATTCTCTTCCTCGTGATGACGGGGATGTTGAACCGGGCCATCCCAAAGAAATCTCAAAGGGACGTTTGGTTCGAAGTGAACAACCAAATCCTCAATGCACTGTTCACTCTCATGTGTCTCTACATGCACCCGAAGCGGTTGTACCACTTCGTGCTCCTCATACGGTGGAGGCACGAAGACGTTTCCAGGCTCCGGAAGGTGTATTGCAAGGACGGGACCTACAAGCCCCACGAGTGGTCCCACATGATGGTCGTTGTTTCACTACTAAATCTCAATTGTTTCGCTCAATACGCTCTTTGCGGGCTCAACTGGGGGTACAAGAGATCGCAACGGCCTGCCATCGGGGTGGGTCTTTGTGTCTCCGTCTCAATCGGCGCGTCCGCTGTCGCGGGCATTTACTCGATGCTTAGCCCGCTCGGGAAAGAGTATGATCACCCGACTCCCGAGCAGGGGGACGAAGAATCTCAACTCCGCAGAAAATCCTTCGAAAAAAGATTCTCTTTTGCGAAGGACGACGGGAGGAATCTAGAGACAGCCCCGCAATGGAGCGGGGGCATTTTGGACTTTTGGAACGACCTCTCGACGGCGTACCTCTCGTTGTTCTGCACTTTCTGCGTGTTTGGATGGAACATGGAACGGTTAGGGCTAGGGAACATGTACGTACACATAATGACGTTTCTTCTGTTCTGCATGGCCCCGTTTTGGATATTCAACTTAGCCGCGGTCAACATTGATAACGACACCGTCCGTGGGGCTTTGGGGTTGGTAGGGGTGTTCCTATGCGTGTTTGGTCTGTTATACGGCGGGTTTTGGAGGATCCAGATGAGGAAGAAGTACAATTTGCCCGCATACGGCAATTCCCCGTTTGGGAAATTCAAATGCAGATCGTCAGTCGTTGATTGTGCATTGTGGCTCTTCTGTTGTTGGTGTTCTTTGGCTCAAGAAGTTCGGACCGGGAATTCGTATGATATCGTTGAGGATAAGTTTTACAAGAAACAACGCGACGGCGAAGGTCATATTTCACCTTTGCCCCGAGAAGACGAGGGGGCGTTTAAGGCAGGTCCAAGTTCTTCTCTTCCTCCTCCAAACAAGCCTCATGAAGGCAAGAGTTCCACACCAAGTCCAAGCAGATTTGCACCCCAGTATTTGAGTCCAGGTAGACATTAGCTCCCAATCTATAAGATACAATTATGAATTTAAATGGGGTTCTTTTGACACCACTCATGAGTTCCATAATATGACACCGAGCATTTGAGGGACATACGGTGCTCGCTCTGTTCGTCCCCAAAGTTGTAGGGAGTTTAGGGGGGTAAGAACCATTTCATGGTCATATGCGGGTTCCTCAAATGACCCGGTGTCATGTTATGACACCCCCCCCTTGGTGTCAAAAGAGTCCACTCTACGAATACTGAAGTTATTTTCAATTTAATTTACTTGACATTTGGTGTAATTTTTTTAAAAAATATAGATTTAAAGCTTCAAGAACATTATATTTTTATCAAATGAGTATGGGAAATAGACAAAGAAGACGGAAAAAAAAGATTTATGCGTGATTGTCTCTGGTGGTGTCAACCGTGATTTCATCCCTCGGGTTAAAAATGTCATTACTCGTTTATTATTCCCACAATGTTATTGCTCCTTGCAGATGCATCTAATGTGGGGGGAGGTAGGAATGATCCTATGGAGCCGCCGCCTCCTATGACCATACAAAAAGAAGACGTTTAACGCAACGGTTTTGAGGTTGCGTGTGGCTATTCGGATTCAAAAAAAAAAAGAAAAGATTTGCCCGACACCGGAGTCGTGTATTGGAATCTTGTTTACCACGGGGGCGGAGATTTTCACGGGGGAGCCCATTCTACAAAGCGTCCCGCCAAGCGAGGGTCGGAGCGTATCAACCTTGTTGTTCATAATTTTCATGTTTTGTTATAATTTTTTCTTCCATTTTTGTTGTCTTTTTCCTCTGCAAGTATGTGGTTTTTTTCCCCCATGTGTAAAGGAATAACAAGAGATTAGTGTGTGAAGTGGGAATTTGTTGTTCTGTTTGGTGATTGGGGGGTTCTTGTTTCTCCTTTCTCGGAGATCGGGTGGACGTTTGACTATAGTTTCTTGGGGATAACACCAATACACTCTCTCTTTTCAAAACTTATTTTTAAAATATTCGTGATTTCAAAATGTTGTACTCATACTCTCGCTGATCATTTTCCAGCCACTTTTCCAGTAAAGACGGAGATATTGGTGTGTATTTTCCAAATCATAGGAGGCGCTTGTGCTCATTTCTTATTTTTCGATTTTTTTTGTTTCTCTTATTAATCAAAGTTTTTTAAATTTATTTTTAAATTGTTTTTATAATGTTTTTGAAATTTAGAATTATTTTTATTTGAATTTTTTTACATATATTGCATCTATACGTCTCAATTTAACAATTTTATATTTTGTTCTCTAAAATAAAAAAAATTGTTCAGAGAGCTTGGAAAAATGAGAAATGAAATAAAACAAAAAATAAAAATTAATATCCTTGTTGGACATCCCAATTCTAAGGACTTTTTAAGTGTTTGAATTTTTTTTTATATAAGACTCTTTTTTAAGCGTTTCAATATTTTTCATTTCGTATTTCCATATTTTTATTTTTGTTTTTCTTTTTGAACTTACCAAAAACATTATTCTAGAAAACAAAAAGTTGAAATGTTTAATTTGAGATATATGGAGTATATGTTTTTTTTATTTCAAACACAAAACATTTTGAATTCTTAAAAATATTATAAAATATTTAAAAGAAATTTTAAAAACTTTTCTAGGAAAGGGAAACAAAGAAATAAAAAAAGTTTAAAAAGGGAAAAATAAAATGAAAACTGAAAAATAAGAAATGAGCATGTATATGATTTAGAAAATAGGCACTAATGCCCCTTCTATGCCGGAAATGAACGGAAAATGATCGGAGAGTGTGTGGTGCAACGTTTTGAAAGTACAAAAATTTTAGTTTTTGCCTAAATAAAACTACTTTTACACTAAGGGTTGTACATCAATAGTTTAACGGACAATCGAATCACTTGGGATCACATAAGCAATGTCTTGATCGATTTGTTATCCGGTTTGGTTTTTAAAACTATGGGTGACACTAATCTTTTTGGATTTTTCCCGTATGATCAGAGTTCAATGACTTTTTGATTGTATTGGAGAAAAATTACCCAAAATAATCCCAACTTTACCCGGTCTTTCAAAAATAATTCCACCTTTCACTGTGATGCATAATAATCTCAACTTTATTGAAATTTGCCAGTTTTGGGTCGCCGTTAAGTTTCTAACGGAGGGTTAACGGAAATGCCCGTTTTAGGCAACAAAATGAAAGTTGGGATTATTTTTGATGAATTTTTTGTTTTTAATTTTTTTTTTTTAAATTTTTATTTAAAATTTTTGAATTACTTTCAACCTCAATTTCTTTTTCTTTTTTAAAGATTATTCTTACCTTAGAAAAAAGTAGATATAAAAAATAATGAAAATGAGAAAAATAACTAAAACCATACAAAATTAATCAAATAAATAATGTAATCAATAGAAATTAAACAGAAACTGGTAAGAAATAAAATAAATATATACGGAGTGGTGGGTTTTAACATTTTACACACTATACGGAGTCTTAATGTACTACTTCTTTCGTCCCAGAGTATTTGTCCACTTTAATTTTTATACACCATGCAATACACTTCTTTAATCCATTTTATCTTGTAATTTGTATATTAAATAATTATAGAAATTATGTATTAATAATCTATATGCTAAGATAAATCAAACAAAATCACACATGACTGTATTTAGGCTTACACATTGAGAGAATTTGATGAATCAAAGTGCTTAAATGAACAGTTCCAAAAGTCAAAAGTGGACGAATATAGCGGGACAGAGGGAGTACTTATTTTTTTAAAAGAACAAGCCGTCCGGTAAAGTTGGAATTATTTTAGATAATTTTTTTCTAAAAAATAAGAAGTGATATGTTAATAATTTGTATAATGCGTAAAATATTAAAACCCACCCGTATATTTTTATTTTACTTTTACCAATTTCAAGTTGGTTTCCATTGATTACCTTATTTGTTTTATTATTTTTGTATCATTTTAGTTACATTTCTCATTTTTTCATTTTTATATCTATTATTTTTATTTTTTAAACTAAGACTATTCTTTAAAAAAGGAAAAAGAAATGACGATGGAGGTAGAAAGTAATTTAAAAAATTTAAATGAAAAATTTAAAAAAAATAAAAAAAAATGAAAATTCATCAAAAATAATCTCAACTTTCATTTTGTTGCCTAAAATGGGCATTTCTGTTAACCCTCCGTTAGAAACTTAACGGCGACCCAAAACTGATAAATTTCAGTAAAGTTGGGATTATTATGCATCACAGTGAAAAGTGGGATTATTTTTGAAAGACCGGGTAAAGTTGGGATTATTTTAGGTAATTTTTCCTTGTATTGGTTCTCAAAAAACTATTGCATCATGCTACATAGACACCAAGAACGATTGCCCCTCATCTAAAAAAGAATATCAAATTAGGCAAAACTAATTGTAATTTTAATGTTTTTTCAATTTAGTTTATTAAAAAATTGGTTAAAAAAAATATAAAATAATCAAAACTTACATATTTAAAAAAATACGTCAAAAATTTTACAAAACAAACGATTACAGAAATATTTTATTTCATCAAATAATCAATTAAAATTACACAAATAAAAAAAGTATTTGTATTCTTTGAATTGTGACATTTTTTAGAGACGACGGGAGTATCATTCAATCATTGTGTCTTACAAACACACACAAACTATGAGTGTCTTTGTAATTTTTTTGAGAGACAAAGTGTGATTGATTAGCTTTTACCAAAAGTATTTATATTAAAGAAAAATTGATATAAATACTCCCAGAAATTTGAAATTTCACAATAATACTTCCAAATTCAATAAAAGACTCTGGTGCTCCCAATTAAACTATAAGTTTACATTACTACTCCCACTATCTTTAATCAATTTTTCTTATGCTTACATGTAAGTAATTATGCTTAGTTGACATCTTAGTTGTTGTTTTTTGTTTTAATAAGAGGAAAAAAATTATATAAATACTCATAGAAATTCAAAATTTTACAATAATTCTCCCAAAATCAAATAAAGACTCCAATTCTCCTAAAAGTATATTCTCGTTGCACGTTACTATATTTGACTGAAATTATTTTTAAAGTATTTTATATGAAAAATGGTGTGAAATTAAAAAATAAAAATTACATATTAAAAACTAATATAGTAATATCTAAAAATAATTTTTTTAGTAATATTAAAGATTAATTAATTGAGCTTAATTGGCATCTTAAGTAGTTTTTTATATTTTAATAAAAAATATCCCTCTGTCCAAAAATTATCTTCTCATTCACTATCAAAAGTAATAACAAGATCAAATTTTATTTACTTTGCTTATCTATTTTAATTATGTATTTGATAAAATAATATAATTATATCATTACTAGTTTTATAGATCTTATAATGTAGTTTTTAGATATATAATTTTATTTTTTGATTTCGAACCACTTTTATTAAACATCATAACATGTAAAAGGAAGATATTTCTTAGAGTATTGGAATCTTTATTTGGTTTTGAGAGATTATTGTAAAATTTTGAATTTTAGAGAGTATTTATACAATTTTTTCTCTTATTAAAACAAAAAGAACAACTAAGATATCAACTAAGCATAATTATTTACATGTAAGCATAAGAAAAGCTGATTAGGAATAGTGGGAGTAGCAATGTAAACTTATAGTTTAATTGCGAGCACTAGAGTCTTTTATTAAATTTGGGATTATTATTGTAAAATTTCAAATTTCTGGGAGTATTTATATCAATTTTTCCTTATATTAATTGGCGAGTACTAAGATAATCAAAATCAGTTCGCTTGTTAGACCACAAATTTGCTTACGGTATGTTTGAAAACATGGATTTGGATTTCAAATCCGAATTTGACTAAAATTTGATGTTTGGAAAACTTAAAATTTTTGAATTTAGATTTGAGTCAAATTTTTCTCATTCATAACAAAACTTATTTTGAAATCCATGCACCTCCTCTTGTCATCATTTGAAATTATAGATTTCAATTTTTGGAATTGAAATGCATAAATTGAAATGAAATGTTAGTTGTCAAACACTATCTTATCCTTTTCTATTTCCACCATGATACGTGTACATAAAGAGTTGTATCCTAAATTACACGAGGTACATCACAGGTATACACTGACACTTTGATGTTTCAAACTGATATTAGTGGATCGAAAATTTTGCACTAGCATTTTGTACTAGTGTGAACTATCAAAGTGTCAGTGCATATCAGCAGTATTTAATTTGGGATACAACCATTGGTATTCAAGTAACTTTATTTTTTTATTTTCACCTTGTCTATTCAAAAGCTGGTCAAATTGTAAAACCATTGAGTTTTGGTTCGAATTAAAACACCGTATTAGTAAAAAATTTCTATGTCTGGCCAAATCGGAGTCATATAATGGACCTAACATTTGAAGCCATATTGGTTCAATCCACTCGCGAGCGACATGAAGAATTCAGCCATTATTATATTGTCACACTGTAACTTTTACATTATTGTTATCACACTGTCATCCCTCGTCGTTGGCCATCACAATGCCACTGCTCATCACCGACAATTGGGTGATCACACTATCATATTACGTAGTACATTATTATTACTTTTCTATCACATTGATAACACATATTTTATATCATGCTGACATTATACTCTTATTTTAACTTTAAAAGACTTAAGACTTTTATTTTTTGTATTTTCATTCTTTTTTAGTAGGGAGATTTTTTTTATAAAATAATATCTTGCTCCATCGGCCCCAATTCATTTTAATTAAAAATTGGTGTGTGTGTGTATACACACACACACACACACACACATAAACTAGGTCAAAAGTTTTCAAAACATGTGGTGTTAAGAATATTTTAAGTTATCAAAAAATCTATGAAAACATGCAAATGAAAAAAAGTTTCCGTTTTTTAAATAGTAAATTGTGAAATTCTCTTTGAAATGAATGGAGTAAATTATAAGATCTTTGATACTCACTTTGTTCCAAAATCTCCTTATACCGAGTATTTTACTTTCTTGATTAAACTTTATAAAACAGAAAAAGGTATGAAATGGATGAAGTATTTAATTTCTAGGAGTGTTAGTGATAATAATATAATCTTAAATATTCTCCTTCTCGATATCATCTTAAGTATCACAAAATATGTGTTTAAAAAAAATTCTCAAAATATTGCATGAGTTTTTAACTTTTTTTATGTGAAATTTGCAGTAAATAACATTAAAACATATATCATTTCTTAATGAAATACTTAAATTTTTTAATTCTATAAATAATATTTAAATAATGACTAGTGGCATAAGCAATATCCAGTCATGATGGATATTTAGTTTGAACAATGTGCAATAGCGATGGACATTGAACAGTGATACTATATTGGAAAATAAAAACATATGATACTATATTAAAAAAGTCATTATGTTTTAGTACTATTTAAGTAAATTTCCATTTTTTATTAGTTCTATCAATTTATTTATTACTCCATATTTTCTAGCCAGTATACAAAAATACTGTATTTATTCCTTACCCGAAATCCCAATTTCAAGTTTCCTAATTTATACGGCACTTTTTCATATTTCTGGTTCCATGGGTAAATCCTTGCGTTCTTCCAAACATTTTGCTAGTTTTATCGGCTCAAACACTTTCCGCCGCCGCCGCGCCCAACCCAAGGTCGAGGGGTCTGTCAGAGTTATAGAATCGGCTTCGTCGGAGCGGCGACCGAGGATGAACAAGAAGGAGGAGAGTTCCATCCCCAAGCCCTCGTCGGAGGACATCCGGATACCGCTGGCCGACGTGGTGGCCGATTGCGTCAGACGGTGGTTCCAGGACACGCTCAAGGAGGCCAAGGGCGGCGACATCTCCATGCAGGTCCTTGTGGGTCAGATGTTCTGTAGTGGATATGGCGTGCCCGTTAATGCCGAGAAGGTGTTTGATTCTTTGTCTCACTGTACTTCTGATGTTTGTTTCATTTTTTTGTCCCAAAAGCTTCGTTTTCGGCCTTTTTTCTTGGATTTACGATGGAAAGCTTTGACAAAGTAATGTTTCCTAAATAAAAAAGGTGGGTCTGTTTTATTTTAAGGAGTAATTAGTTGTTATCTCTGCATGAGTACTTTAGCATCAGAAATATATTGTGAACTACTAATTCTTGAAGTCTGGACTTCACAATAAAAATGAGGCAAGTAGTATCTAACTTTCAGGTTGGATTGATGCACAAGAACAGTCTTGAGGTCCATGTGTTTCACTCTGATTTCTTTAAACAAACTTTGAGATCATTCAATTCTTTTTTTCTGGGCATAGGGAAGAGCATGGATATCTCGGGCGTCAAGGACCCGTTCTTCGGCATGGAAAGTTCGTGACAAACGCCCAGGTGCTTGGAGTTGCCCTTTTGTGACTTGACATGCTATAAGATGCTTTCTGATCTATAGTGTTTATGGAAATTGGTGTTCTTTTTAGGTTATAATGTTAGTGATTCAGATTCCGATGATACTGCTGGGAATGCTAAATAAGGGCCAATGTGCTTGATCTTTGGTGGGAAAACCATAAATTTCATTGTGAGTTATGATTATTTTTGCTTCGTTTCATTCTTTCTTGTGAAAGCTTTTGTTATTGTCTGCTTCAGTTTTTTGGGTTTTCCCTTGCAGTGATTGTGTATCGTAGAATTTGTGGAATTGTATGTTGCTGGTTGCACTCACTCTATATTTGGAACCTCAAAAGAAAACAAGGAAAGAAAAGAGGGAGGAAAAAGGAGCGGAAAATTAGAAGGATAGAAAAACAAACTTGGATTCAAACTCATAAGTATGTTGTTTTTGTTGTCGAACTCATAATTATACTCCGTATTTGAGATATCTGTTCAAACTCATTTTGGAATTGGTTTTGGGGAAGGGTTAACTAGACACCTACTTTGAGTTGGGGTGAATGAAAGGTGTATCAAGAAAACACATTCACAAATCACAGATGTTATATAGAATTTTCCTATCAATTTTGGTGGGGGTGGTCTCATTTTATTCAAAGACTGAGCTTCAAAATCTGATGGAAAAAGATAAAGTGAATCCTTTAGGGTCTGTTTGGAACTTGGAAAAGGCTAGGAAAGATATAAGGGAGGATAGCTTAGGAGAGATTTGGATAATATCTGGAAAATGAAAATTTGGTTTAGACTCAATAAATCCTTTTTAGATATTTGTTCAAACTCAATCTATTTATATATTTCTATTAGTTAACAGATAGAAATAATGTCTGTTAATTTTTCATTTGTGTTGAGTTCATAGTTTTCAAGATGAAAAAAAACATATTCCTATGCATTTTTTTATCTTCCCCTCCCATTTCTGGGTTCCAACCAAAGCCATGTATTTCATGGTAACTCGGCAAATGAATTTGTCTGTTTCCATTGAATAACGATGTTTCATGATATTAGTATTGCTATAAGGCTTGTAAGCACAAACATACACTATGATGAGTATTGTAGCACCCCCTATGTGACCAATCTAGGGAACACTACGGCACTACCTGCAGCACAGAAGCACCAAAGCGTTACCTAATTTTGCAACACTGTCTAATTCCGGAACAATATAGAATTAATCACAAACACCACTTTACTCATTGTAACACATACATGAATTTTTTCTTTTCCCAACATTTCTTGTGTTCCAAACATGCCTTAACGTTTTCTGTTTTGCTGACACTTGTCAAAAAGGGCAATGCTCCAATAATATGGGGAGCGAAAGCGGATTTTTCTCCTTGAATTAGGATGTCCTCATCTCATATTACCATGTAATACTTAAAGATCTTTTCTTCTTCTTCTTCCTTCATTTGCAGTGTATTTCAAGAACCCATCACCCGCATCGGAGAACTGGTGTTATCCGTTCTTGTTTTTAATCATATCTGTATCCATATCCTCGGTGTATCTTAGAAATCGAGCACGTGGGTTTACCCTTTTCCATTTGATGGCTTTTTTTGTGTCTTTGATGAACTTACCTTGAGGTATGGCTACATGAGGAAACCCAATACTTTGATTAAACAATGTGAATGGTTGCTGTTCTTCCATTGTTTATAGCTGCCATGGGAGTGTCTTTATTATTATACAGTGCATGCTTGATAGAGCTTATTTAGGGGCTTTTATCTTCTCTGGTAATGACCTTATACTAATGTTTTTTTCATGTGTTGTAATAGATGTTCGCTGGGTGGATTGGCCCGGACGGTACCGAAATTAGATTCCATTTGACATTAGTATTAGTGATTAGCTTCAACGTTTTTAAAATTAAATGCTCCGTATAACAATAGTTTTTAGCATTTTCAATATTACACAATAACAAAAATTACTCAACACTATTACAAAAATTTCCAAAATGCTAGTAATGTTAATTAAATGTTCAACCAAACCATGCTAGGTGTACCCTAAAAACTGTATCCAAAAAGTATTCCAAAAGTTTACACTTACATTTTGATACTCTACATTAACACAAAATGTCTGTGCAATCGTATAATTTTACAATGATATTTTGTGTCAATGTAATTCATCAATCTCGTACCTATATTGACACAAAGTATAAGGATAAACTTTTGAAGTACATTTTGGGGTACAATCTTTGGATTAGGAGATTTATTCATAAACGTTTGTCCTAATTTAAATGAATGATACTTGATTGTACATAGATTAAGAACTTAAATTCATGTACATCTTAACAAAAAAAGTGCTACAATTTTGAAGTCACACTTGAAAATCGTGTAAAATTGTAAATAAAAAATGAAGTGTGTGTGTGCGTGCGAGTATGTATGTATGTGTGTGTGTGTGTATATATATATATTAAAAGCTCTATAAAATAAAATATGATTTGATCGGCTAACAAAAATATACACCTTTCATCCGAGAAAAATGTTTCTAAGCTGATTTTTTACAGTGTTTAGAAAAAAGTTGAAAAATTATGAAAGAATACTTAAATGTCCTTTGTGAAAGTAGGTGAGATGTAATAACAAAATAGTATGTGATGGTAATTGCAATATTTTAAATGTTAAAGATGTGATGAAAATATCTTTCTCAGAAAAAGAAAATGAGCATATAGGTAGATTTTTCTCTAACGAATGTGTGATTATATCCCCGCTTTTAATTTACAAATTATTATTTCAATAAAAAAATTACATATTAAAAAACTACGTAAAAAATTTTACAAAATAAAATGTAATAATAATATTTTATTTTATCAAATAATAAAAAAAAACATATAAATAAACAAAATTTATCGACTAATAAAAGAAATAAAATTATAATCAAAATTGGGGAGATTGGTATTAAATTTGGCCACATGAACATGTAGGATGCAAAATTGCCAATATGACATTTGATTAGACTAGTTTCAAAAACCAAACTCCACAGGGGCAATTTAGACATTCTAGCATGATCCGGTCTGCGCGGGGGTTACCCGGTTGCGTGTTACAGAGTACAGTCGCAGGCAGCGCTTCCACTTTCCCACTACGTGTCTTGGCGTTACTGCCGCCGTTAAACCGAATATCACGGAAATGGATATTTTCCGTCACCCGTCTTCTCCACTCTCTGCATTTCTGTTTTTTCTCTCTTCTCCGTACTGTATTCGGTATTCCATATATTCATTCACTCCCCCCCCTCTCTCTCTCTACTAACCTCTGGTTTTAGTCTCTCTCTTCAAGCCGCCTCGGGAAAAGCACCTCCGCTCTGCATTTCAACGTACATTTTCCAGTTCTTAAACAAGGTTTGAATCTTCATTTCAAAACTTGTTCTCAGTATTTTTTTTATTTCAATCTCCGTTCGTTTTGCTTGAAGTTGTGAGTTTCAATCTGTTTTTTTCCTTTTCTGGTAATTTCATTTGTTTGTTTTGCATTTTTTTGAAGTATTTTTGCTATTCCGAGACGATCGCTTTGTTTATCTCATCCGGAGTATGAATGTGTGTTGTTTGGCAATCTCTGGAGCTTTAGGTTTTTGTTGTTGTTGAAGCTCTGCTGCTCTGCTGCGCCGTGTTAGACTGTAGATTCATGTGAATAGGCATGTGCATTTGTGTGTATATGTAAATGTTGAAACGCTATGGTGGTTTTCAGTCTAGTTGCATGTAGAGAGGCACGAGGGAGAGTGTTGGTGTGACTGTGTGTGCGCGCGCGAAGAAATACACTGGGGTTTAGCTGTGGATGTAGGGTTTTAGAATTTTTGGCAGGGGAAAAAATGAGGAGAACCTGATTTTGTTTTATTTTTGATAGTTGTTGTGCTTTCAGCTTGAGATGGAGGGTTTTAACTTTAAGTCTTTATTTTAAAAGCATTTTGGATTTTCAGCGTTGGTCTCTTTGTTTATTCTGGACTATGAATGTTTGTTGTTTGGTACTGTCTCAAACTTAATGTTATGTTTTGTTGATACTTTACTTCTCTTTGATGTGTTAGACGGTAGATGCTTGTAGATACACTTATATTTTGGTGTATATATGTAAATGTTTAAATGAGATGGGGGTTTTGAGTGTAGGTGCATGTTTAAAAGGCATAAGAATGTGTTGATGCATTGTATGTGCAATTTTTTTTTGCAGGGGTTTAGTTGTTGATGTAGGGTTTTAGCAGTATTGGATAAAATGATGAGAAACTGATTGCGTGCATTTTTTGTTTAGAGCTTATCATATTGGTTTCTTTTGTAGTGAAAACCTTTTCTTGACATACAAACACAAGCTTGAGATTTTGGGTGAGCTTGCTCTTAGGGGGCATGTTAGAATATAAAAACCTTTCTAGGGCCTACAAGCACAAACTTGAGGTTTTGGTTGAGTTAGTTCCCTGACAAATATGATAAATGTGTTAGTCTGTTTTCATTTACCAGGAGTGGTTGGTACAATGGGTTCCAAGAAGAAGAATAAAATCCAGACAGGAAAGGAACAACCATTCCAACCATACAACTGTAGTGTGACTGCCCGAAACCTACCTAAGAGCGAATTGGGAGCTGTTATATTTGGGTGTAAAGCCCATACCATCGAGGAATGCCTTTCGAAGCTGATCTTTGGTATTTCACTTATGCTCTCCTTCAAACATTTTTTTCTACCATGAAGAAACTTTCAATGTTTTATTATTCCGTATGTTGAGTATTACCCTGTTGGTTATGGGTTCACCGCATACCCTGTTGGAATTACCTGGGCATTCACTGATACCAATGTGTTATTATTTGTATTTTTTTTCCAATTTTGACGTGATTTTGCTGTTGTTTTTTTGGTGGTCAGGTTTACCATTTGGACATTTTGCATATGTCAAGAAGATTAGTCCCGGCCTTCCACTGTTTCTGTTCAACTACAGTGATCGGAAGCTTCTTGGTACATTTGAGGCTGCTAGTCCTGGAAAACTTAATATTGACGCATATGCATGGACTAACGGCAATGGCTATGAAACAGAATTTCCTGCTCAGGTAGCAACTTGGTGACACACTTAAACCATCTGTTTCCACACACACAAACAATTGATAAATGACTCATATCTTAACATTCTCTGTCTTCAAGGTGAAAATAAAAGCGTTCAATAGGTGCTACACTCTGAAAGAAAGCCAATTTAGCTCCATCATCCCTGATAACTACTATGATCCAGATCAACCAAATTTTTTTTGGTTTGAAATGGATCATTCTCAGACAGCTAAGATGGTTGGGTTGTTTGCATCTTCAGGTGTGCCGTATGCCGGTCGTCATTATGCTCATCAGAACCCCACTAAGGAAACTCGTAGCTATATCCCACAAAACAAATGCAATCCTAGTGTGCCTAATGATTGTGTTGAACAGCACTCTGCATCTACAAGTTATGCTGTGCAAAGTAATGCCCGTGCTTCCTCCGAACAGAGATCTTGGAGGTCACTTTTTAACAACACAACTTCTGATACAATCAACAAATTTGAAGTTTTGAAGATTGCATCATCACGTCCAACTTCACCCTTATCAGAGCAGTATAATGGGGAATGGGAGTCTTGCACTTCACCTTCAATTACCAGAAGTGAAGATCATGAGTGTTGTCCTGAGGAGATCGACGAAGATGCAGATATTCAGCCACAATACGAGGCTCCTGGAATCTGTCATGGGGAATGGGATGCTGAGGTTGAAAGAGATACAGAAAATATTCAACCATTTGTTGAGTCCGCTGAATACTCTATTCAACCACAGTACGAGGCTCCTGGAATCTATCATGGGGAATGGGATGCTGAGGTTGAAAGAGATACAGAAAATATTCAACCATTTGTTGAGTCCCCTGAATACTCTGTTGATGGAAGTACTTCAATGGAATTAAAGAATATTTGTGTGGCAGAGGAGGAAGAAGGAAATGAAGATGATAGAAATCAACAATTTGTTGAGGCTCCTGCATATTCAGCAGATAGAAATTCTTCAATGGATCAACTTCTTATCTCACAAGGGTCTTCTGATATTCTGTCAATGGTAGCTAACTTGAGCTTTCCTCTCCAGTTATCCTCTGTTTATAAATTCAACTTGATTTCTTCTTGTTAGACTATAAAACCTTTCCTGGGCCTACAACCATAAACTTGAGCTTTTGGTTGAGTTGGTTCCTTGACACTTCTTATCTTATTCATATAACTGAGATCTTTTCCTTGAAGTTGATGCAAGAGGTTGCAGAACTGAAGGAAAGGCAAATGAAACAAGAAGAAAAAATTTGGACTCTCGAAAAAGAACTGGTATGTGTTCCTTGTTATTAACAGACATGGTGGGTTGTTAGTTGGATACATTTTTTATTTGTATTGAGATATAAGACCATCACACCCCTGCTAACAGATACCATCTTTCACCAGTTTCCTTCAATAGTAAATGTTTTGTTTTCTATGTTTTGGGTGAGTTATTTTTCTCTACTCTAGCTTGAACTTTAATCAGAAGGTTTTATGCGTAACTCTAAACTCGTAGCGGCTTAGGACTTTAGGAAGCCTAACCAGTACAGGTAAGCTGCAAGGTCATGTACTGTGTCCAATGGAACACTCTCAATCCATGTGATAAAAATTTAAAAACAAAATGTTGACAGCTAGCTTCTTGGGAAAAAGGGAGAAGGTGGAAAAAGGAAAATAAATGAGGAAGGGACTTTATGTATTTTAATCCCAAGCAATTACTCTTTTCATTATGTAAATTATCCATGAGTCCATGACCCTGAGTTTTGGAAATCAGAAATAATTATTCGTTTGTCTGTTCAGGCTCAGTCAAGAGAGGTAGTTCAGAAGTTACAAAGTCAACACCGTGCATTGGAAGCTCCCCCATTGCCTTCAAGCCAACAGTTTGAAGGATTTTACCGTGGAACACTAAACCCCTCTACTAAGAGGGGTGATTGTGTGCTCGTAGTTGGAGAATTTGATGGTTTGAATTTGCTGCCTAATATAAGTTCCTACATGCCTTTGCATGACTGCATGGAATATCTTACGGCAATGACATTTCCACGGTCATATTGTTCTGTAGCAGTTTTGAATAGTGAGGTTTATCTACTTGGTGGCATGCATGGAGAGGTTTGGTATGACACAGGTATACCATCTCATTTTACGTATTGTGTTTTGTGGAGATTCACTAATAGTTCTACATATAAAATCTCTCAACTTTGTTAATCATTTAGTTGAAGCATATAATCCAAAGACAAATGAATGGTCCAAACGACCCTCATTAAATTGTGAGAAGGGAAGCCTGGCTGGAGCGTCTTTGTATAGCAAAATTTTTGCAGTGGGTGGGAGAAATGGGAGGGAATGTTATTCAGAGGTGGAAATGCTAGACTTGAACACAGGAAAGTGGATGTACTCTACATCAATGCTGGAAAAGGTATCGACATGAACCATTGAAGTTTTTAATCTTCGAATTCTAATTTGGTTTTGAAGGAGTTGGGTAACTGTTTGTCTCTGACTCTCTGTTAATAAAGTACTCATTAGATAACTTTTGGAACAGGTCAAAGCTCTTTTGCCAGATTTTGGAAGCGATACTTTGGTGCTATTATTGAAACCAAAAAGAAATTTACTAAATCGAAAGTGATCAATTTTTATATTTTTATTTAGTTAAAAAAGTTTTCTTAAACTAAGAGCATCTAAATGGCATTTTTTTAGTTTAGAAAAACAGATGTTTCGAGAAGCACTTATAAGTCATACGAAATGAGCACTTAATAATCCATGTGATCTGCCTAATAGCTCAGAGGTATTCATTGTCAGATCTTGGAAGGTTGTTAACTTCTTTTAGTTGGTATTGCTGACTTGCTTCTTCCTTCCAGCGGTTTTCAACAGCAGCAGCAGAAGTGAAGGGTGCTCTCTACGTGGTTGGGGGCTATGATGGAAATGCTTATTTAAAGTAAGGCACCATCACCTTGTGCTCAACTTTCATATGCTTGCTTTGCAGTATTTTCCTTTAACCCCCTCATATTTTCTGATACATACTTTTTTTCCAAACCAAATTTCTTCTTCAAACCCAGTTTTAAACCATGTTTTTTTTCAAGTGATAGTTTTGTGTTTATATAATTATTTTTACAGACCAATGCTGTGTAACACAACCCATTTAAATCAATTACATAGAAGTGCAGCCATCTTGTGAACTTCTATTAGTGCGCCTAAAATTTACCTTATCTTTCTCATTTAGCATTGAAGATCTGCTGAAAGGTTTGATCCAAGAGAGCATACTTGGAGAAAAGTAGGTGACATGAAAACAAAGAGAGGATGCCACTCTTTGGTTGCATTCGATGAAAAGTTGTAAGTACTATCACAATTTTATGGCTGGTTGTGCATCCAAACGGTAATTTATGCCTGAGAGAATGTGAATCGTGGGACGAGTCTTGCTGTTTATTCCTATTTTGAAACTCAAGAAGTGGCGGTATGTTGGGATATGTGGGAAAAATTTGGGCGAGAGCTGATTTAGTCTATAAACCCTAATCTCTTGCCCTTAGAACCGACGTGGGACATGTCCCATACCTTGCAAATGGTTTCAATTGGTAACATTTGACACTCGTTGGTCCCACTTTGCTCGACCAGGCCGCCACCATTCCGAGTTGGCTTTATTACCACTTGTTACAGACCGGACAAGATATCTCATCCCAAAAGACTAGTGTGTAAGGTGAGAGAGACCTTTTGGTCTATAAACCCCTCATATGTCGCCTTTACAACTGATGTGGGAGAAGTCCCATACATTGCAAATGGTTTCAATTTGTAACAAATCACTTTTCTTATAACCTTAGTTTTGATTATAGTTCTTAAAGACAGAGAACAAAAAGAAGAAAACGGTAACAACAGAGCCCTTGAGCTTCCTTTTTTTCCCTTGCCCTTCTCAAAAATGTCCCATTCATTCAAGGAAATACTTACTAAGCGTGCCCAATTTGATGTGAAGCTAACCAATGGAATATGTATTTTCCCAACCTACAGCTCTAAATACCTTCAGAACTAATAAATGATTTCCAACAGATATGCTCTAGGTGGCTACGATGGAGACAGATATGTACCAAGTGTTGAGGTTTTTGAACCCCGTGTTGGTTCTTGGACGATGGTGCATCCAATGAATGATTCTAGGGGTAATTTTGGAGCGGTTGTCATTGGCGGGAAGATATGTGCACTAGGAGGGCTCACGAACGGTGGAGGAACATTAGACACGGTATATATCAACCACTTATATCTCTCTTTGTTTTTGTGTGTGGGATACTCCCCGTCTTTAATCCCTGATTTCACTTTTCTTTTAAAGAAATAAAGGCCTTGTTTGGGAACAACGTTTTCAACAACGTTTTTGCATTTTTGACAATTTTTTAGTGGTGAATATTACATTTTAAAACGCTAAAACTAAACGCTGGCATTCAACAACCTTTTCAAAATGCTTAAGCTAATCGCTAAAGCTCTGATCAGACGGGCACAAAGTGCAGTTTGACAAATGAACTACGGAGTATAATACAAGCCGGATAAAGTGAGACACACAACGGTTTTCTTTAGCATATTCACTGTTTAGGACCCACAACCGTATACTTCATCTAATTCATCACCCTGGAATTTGCAGGTGGAATTTTGCGATGGCTACAGATGGAATCCCAGCAACCTCAAAGGGCTCGGGAAGAGGTGCCTTTTCTCTTCCGTGACGCTGTGAGATTTGTGCAGCGTTAGGTTCCAAGAATGATGGGTATTTTGCAAATGCTACTTAATTAGTGTGTTTTTATCATTGCATGGTAATGAAACTAGCATCAAATGTGACTTAGAAAGATGGGGTCTGTGGTTCATTTACGCCCCTCCCCTCCCCCCACCCCACCCCACCCCCACCCAACCTAGTACATATAGGCAGTTGAGAAGGAGAGGACGGATTTTAGTCGAAACGTAGGCAACATGGAAAACAGAGTAATTCCCTAGCTGTATGTTTTGTCACTTCGTTACCATGTGAACAGCTAATATAACTTTATGCCATTTTGAGGTCAAGGCCTCAGCGCTATTTGCCTTTTATTGCTGTGTTGATTCCAGGGGGTTTTTGGTTTTGGTTTTTGGAGCCACGGTTGAGTAACAAAGGGCATTTGCAATGGATGTACCTGACTATTCTTTATAGTTGCAATTTAAAATGTTGCATTGAACTAAATTTTAATTGGATGTCCATGACTATTTACAACTAATGAAGCTAGAGGTAAACTAAAATTGGGTACACCGTCAACTGTCATCAAGTTTACCCCTACCCTTCAAATGGATATAGACAAAATGGTGTTACGATGGGCCTGTTTGGAAATAACGTTAGAGATCAACGTTAACGTTTTGGATAAAATTTTAACGGTGCAGATTATTTTGAAAATGCTAATGCCAAACGCTGCTCGTAGATAACCTTTTCAAAACGCTAAAGCTAATTGCTAACGTTATTCCCAAACAGGTTTGATTTATCGTGGGTTTGTGTAGTTGGTGGGGCCGAATTTGGGGTTATTCTTTGGTTCCAAGTTTAATTAATTTTCTATTTCCAAATAAGTCGGTCTAAATTAGGGCTAAGTTGGAAAACCAAACCAAAATTGATTGAATCATGCCAAAAAATAAACCGAATCAAAAGAACAATAGTCGAATGTGAAAACTGAACTGAATCGTTCCAAATTGTTTTGTTTTCAATTTCAGACTATGAGAACCGAACCGAATAAAAAAACCGAAATATGTAAGTTACTACCAACTACCAAGAGTTCCAAGATGGAGAAAAAGGTTAATCATTTTTGTTATGGTAAGCCTCCATTTTTTGTAGGTTTAATTGTTTAAGTTGTTTTGTTCTTGCACATTTAATTGTTTAAATTTTTTTTCCAAGTTTAATTGTTTTGGTTATGGTTAGCCTCCTTTTTGCCTCAATTTATTTTTGGATGATGGAAATAAAACTAAAAGGTGCTCTATATAAAACTTTCAATTGCTTCAATCTTTACAAAAATTTAGTTTGGAAATAATGTTTAGGACTTTAATTACATGTTGACTTGACTTCTTGGGCTTTTTTTATAATGAACATTTATGAGGTTGCATTGGTTTTTTTTAAATGTGAGCAAGTAAACAAGTATAAACTCTATGTACTCCATCAATTCTCGGCCGCAATTCTAGTGTTTGGATAGATATTTGGAAGGATTTGTAGTTTTTTAATGTGATCAATGTGATATATTTTAATTTTTTTGAAAATCATCTAACCAAAGAAAACCGAGGATTGAAATGCAAAAAACTGAATCGAAAAACTGATCATTCAATTTTTTTGAATAACCAAACCGAACAGTCAAATTAACTTTCGTTCGGTCTTTGATTTCAAGGAAAAACCAAACCCACTCCTAGTCTAAATGGTGAAGATAGTCGAACTAGAGATAGTAATGAGTTGAGTTTGAGCAAACTGATGTTACAACAAATGGTTATGTCCAAATCTAGTCCATTTTGGTCAAATGACTAAGGTCATGTTCTTCTCAATTTATTATTTATTCTTATTAAAATCAGATCATTGATAAAAAAATTAGAATCAAATCAAATCAGATTAGATATAGCTTTAAATATAATTACTTTCAGATTAGATCAGACCAGAACTTATTTTAATCTGATCAGAATCATTCATTGGAATCAAATTAGACCAAATCAAATTAGATTAGATCGGTTCAGATCAAATCAATTAGAATTCATGGTAAGGGCCTTAATAATCGTGGTATTTGATGGATGTCTTGGGAACGGATGACTACCCCAAAGAAGTTTGGGGGTTTGGGCTTTCGGAATATCCAGATGTTTAATGTTGCTATATTGGGTAAACAAGGCTGGCGTTTTCTGACCAACCCCAGCTCGCTTGTTGCGAGAGTTTTTAAGGCTAGGTACTTTCCTAGTAACTTTTTTTGGAGGCCGAGTTGGGGAGATGACCCGGTTACTGTTGGAAAAGCATTCTTTCGGCCCAGGATGTTCTTCGTAGCGGTATCGACGTCGTACTGGCGATGGACGGGAAACACATCTTTGGGGTACTCCTTGGCTACTTGAAGAAGTTAATCTTTACCCAAGCACGGCGAGACGCATGGAGAATGAAGACTCCTTAGTGGCTTACTTTATTGACTTTGATTTGAATTCTTGAAATGTAGCGAAGCTGGAACAATACTTTGAGGCCGATGAAGTGCTACAAATTTGTAGGGTCCCTGTGAATACTAAAAGTTGTGATGGATGGTTCTGGCTTGGGGACTTCCGCGGGGCTTATAAGGTGAAAAGTGCTTACAAACGCTTGATGGGGGAGGCTTTTCTCGTGTCCTCCTTTTCATGTCGGGGAAAAATTAGGCGGATTCCGGTGGCCCCAAAAGTTCTTGTTTGCTTGTGGAGGGCTATTCGAGGTATCTTGCCCATGCAAGATGCTCTCATTTCTAAGAGAGTGGACGTGGATGGGGGTTGTCCTCTCGGTGGAGGAGCTCTTGAAACAGTTGATCATATTTTCTTGTTTTGTCCTTTTGCAGATTCAGTTTGGAGGCTCATGGGCAAAGGAGGGAATAAAGCCAGAATGACACTCTGATGGAGCTGTGTACCATCGCTTAGACTTGTTGGGCAATTTGGAAAGCACAAAACATAGCCACTTGGGATCATAATACACTGCTTCCAGGAGAGCTTAAGAAAATGGTGATGTCCATGGAAGCTCAATGGTCGAACAAGGCTGATGCGGAGCGGGAGCATACTTCACAGCGGCACGATGTTTGTTTGCGGGCCGAGGCATACATGTGTTTCTTTGATGTTGTGACATCAGGTTTGGAGGATTCTATCTCTTTCGTTTGTGTCATTTTCTTATCCAGGGGGCGTATGTGTGGCAGCGGCAAATGGAAGAAAACATGGGCCTCTAGATCCTCTTTTGGCGGAAGCTCTTGCTTGCAAAGAAACGTTAGCTTGGTTGAGGATTCCAAACATTCGCGACGTTGAAATTTTTTCTGACTGCGAGGTTTTGGTGGGGCTATCAAGCAAGGAAGGGTCTTTGAGTGCTACTCTTATCTAAGCTCCATCCTTGACGACTGTGCTGATTTATTATCTTTGTTTACATCTATTGAATTTCATTTTATTCGTAGGAATTGTAATTGTATTGCCCATACCCTTGCACGGTGTGCTACATCCCATATGGTCTCATGGAGCTGTACACCACCAAGTTGTATTACACACTTGATTTCTTCTGAATGAAATTTTTCTTGCCATAAAAAAAGAACGGTCCGGTTCCAGTGACAACGGAAAATGGTGCCACTCCGGTGCCACTGGATTTTTGGGGCATCTCCGGTGCTCCGTTCGTAAAATTGACGGTTTCTACCCCCCTAACCCACCCCCTAAACCCCCCACCCTACTCCCACCCCGCCGTAACCCCCCCACAAAATGTGTGGCTATTATGCAATGCATAATAGCCACACATTTTGTGGGGGGGGGGGGTTACAGTCAATTTTACATTCAATTTTGGGTTAGAGGGGTAGGAACCGTCAATTTTACGAACGGAGCACCGGAGGTGCCCCAAAAACCTAGTGGCACCGCTAGTGGCACCGTTCTCCGGTGTCACTAGAACCGGGCCAAAAAAAGAATTCATATTTCAATGAGATTAGATACTATCGAAATTATTAGTCCGTAGTAAGATTACAAACTTTGGAAGACTTGCCCACTATCCTACTCAATTAAACAGATTTTATTGTTCCAGGCCCAAACTTAGGATCTCTTTTTTTTTTGTCTAAACCCACTCAATAAATTGTTGGGCATCCGAACTTGGACGGATAATCCAGTCCACATATACCACCCGGTCAAGCCCATGTCTCTAGCATTGACTTATTGTCTACCAGTCTACTACCTGTAAGCGGAACTGTTGGGCGCAAGTTAGCAGGTAGCCGGAAGAACAGCTACGAGCGAGCGAGTTCAGAAACTGGAGAGTGTGGCGGACATTTCAAAGCAGTGGGAGGAGCTTCATCCTCATTCATCCCTGATTTCAAAGTAAATCTCCCCGCCGATGGACTCCGCCGCCGTTCTCCGGTCATTCCGCAGTAATCCTCCCCCCCTCTCTCTCATTCGCGCAGTTTATCTCTCCCGATTCATGCGTCTTTAGTTTATATTTCTATGTTGAATGCGTGTTCGCTTTTATGCATATACCTAAGTTCTAACTTATTCATTTTTTTACCTAATGTGTTAGCTCAATCTCCGGCTGTGTTCCGATTGGGCTTTTACCGCTATAATCTGAGATCTGATATAGAATCTCTATAATCATATTTACATATGTCAGATCCATGAAGGCTTTGCCCTGTTTTCAAACTTTTGCAGATCACACGAAATTAAATGTATTATGAGATTAAATGCTCGTTCTTCTGTCGTCAATGCTCCATTTTCTTCTTCTTTGTATTTTTTTGGATGCGTATTCTTCTTCTATGTTAATTCAATTTGATGTTAGGATATAAATGCATTTTGTTGTATTTCGTTTCTCTCTTCGGGTGTTTTGGAACTTGGAAGAAAAGTTGGTTGCTGTGTTTGGGGCTAAATGGAATATAAGTAGAAATTTTGAATGGGATTATGTAAAGCAATGTTCTAAAGTTAACTAGAAGAGATCGTGTGCTGTGGGAGTGTGGGGTGTGCTTGCATTTAAGATTTTAAGAATATATGAATCTGCAGTTAACTAGCTCGAGATTTATGCTTTAGGATTTTAGAGAGAAAGTCTTTCTTTCTAGTGTGCTTGTAATCTACTTATCATTTTTTAATTTCATCTAGCATTTTATAAAGTGCATACCAAAATTTCGTAATCATTTTGATGCTAGAATTTTTTGTTTCCCGTTCAAGATTCCATTGGCTCATCTAATGTGAAGTCATTCCTGGATATGCCTAGTGTGGTCCCCATGAAAAGTGTTGCATTCTCCAACTTGAGTCGTTTGGCATTTGCTGGGAATAGATTAGTTGTATCATCCGCAAAGGCATCAGGAACTAATGCATCAGAAGATATGAATGGTTAATTTCTGCTCTTTCAACTATGCCAATTTGTATCAGATTTGTAAGATGTCAACTCACTAATTGCAGTACCAATTGGCACTATATTTCACATGTCTGACACTTGTATGCACTCACCTTTAATTTAGTTTTCCCTATAATTGTGGTCTTTTTCATGAGTCTTAATAGCAAGATTTCTTTTTTACCAAATACTCCGTACTAAATTTTATTACGCACACTCAATTGCTTAATAATGAAAAAGTATGGTTGGAGGTTTCTAATAACTGTCTATTTGGATGAAGATTGTCATTATAACCATTTTAGTACTCGTATATTTTATTTACTTTATCAATATAATAATATAAGAGTATAACTATTCCACAATTATGCAGTTTCATCATCTTCATTAATATTGATCAGAAATTCAGCCATTCCAGCCAAATTAATCACAGGATCTAATTTGCATTTTTGTAGCCTTTTTTTCCCTTGCATATATGCTGCAGTTGATGAAAGATGTATCTCATAAGTGTTTTTTTCTATTCAAAAAGATGTTTAATATATAAATTCAAATGTCCCGGATGTATAGGGGCAGCTATTCTGACTGAGGGTAAACAGACTTTTTCAAATGAGAAGAAGCCACTGGCACGAGTTACATTTCCTGAGGGGTTTGAGGTAGTTTGCACTTTTGTATATTGTTACATATGAGTTTTTGTCTTTCTTTTAGACAACAGCAACCCAGTAAAATCCCATGAGTGGGATGTGGGTGGTGGGCATATGCAGACCTTACTCCTACCTAAACGATAGGGAGATTATTTTCAAAAGATCCCGGCTCAAAGAATTGAGTTTTTTTTAGCCCTAGTAAAAAATTGATCTTCTTGTGCTCTAGTTAATTAACAATAGATGTGTTTTTGGAAAGAATCACATAATTACAAAATCATTGAAAATTACATCTCCTAGGGGACTTTAAGACGAGATTTTTTAAAAAAAGATACACATTCAATATTGTCTTAGTTTTACATTATGACATATACTGCACGACAAACTTTCTCCTTGAAAAAATACTTGTGGGAAGGACTATATTTTTCGGTATAAATATGTAATCATCTTATAATGTGCCTCAAATTTTGAGATGCACTTGTGTATGTTTTCTGCCGGTTTTCTGACAGGACCTAATAACAGAAGTATGTGATAGCACACAAATTGCGGAGTTGAAATTCAAGGTAAATATATCTTCCGTTACCTATTCTTTGTGTCCCTTCTATCTTGTCAACTTTATCAAAAACGTTATTAAGCTGTAGAAAGTTAAATTTAGCTGTGAAAATGAAATTCTTTAAATCGGGTAGCATCTGGCTAAATCTCTTATGGAAATACAGTTAAGATGCTTCTGGCCCACTCAAAGATAATGAGTTTCTGGTGTTATGAGTTGTGCATAGTAAAGATATCTTCAATGTATTTTATCTAACGACTGACTCAAGTAAACAGTGTTGTGTTTTACTACTTAAGCATGTCTTATTATAATAATAATGGGCTTGTTTGGGAACAACACTTTTTATTAGCATTACCGTCAGATAGCCTTTCAAAATGCTAACCTCTAATGCTGTAGCAAAACAGGCCAATATTATTGAACTATCTATCTGCCAATGTTAAATAAATAGGGTAGAATGTATCCACAAGGTCACATTTAGCTAGTTTTGTTGCGAGTATCTGTTCATTAAGTCTTTTCTTCATGTTTGCTACAGGCTGGGGGGTTTGAGATGCACGTGAAGAGGAAGGTTGAGGGTACAACAGTCCCTACACCAGTTTTCTCTCCAACACCTCCACCTACTCCAAGTGGACCGGTGGTTGACACATTGCCTGCTGCTTCATCTCCATCAAGCTCCTCTGGAGAAAGTAGCCCATTTGTAAATATTTCTCCAGAGAAGTCGGCAATGTTAGCAGCATTAGAAGCATCTGGAATTCGTGGCTATGTCCTAGTGTTATCACCAGCTGTATGCATTCCATAATGATCATGTCTATAGTATTCGCACTGAATTGTGGATTATCAAGAACTAATAGCTGATTTGGTCACCCGACTATGTGCTGTTAGTCTGTTACTCAATTAGGTCCCTCGACTATACACTGTTACTCAATTTGGTCCCTCGACTATACACTGTCACTCAATTTGGTCCATTACTATGAAATTTAATCTCAATTTAGTCCTAGAACATGTTTCACTCTAATTTAAAAGAGTATTTTGTATACTATGGACTGAATTGGGTCCAGATGACATAGTATTGGCCAGATTGAGTCTAGATGTGGGTCTAAATATTAGTGAACAGATAAAAATACCATTTTTACTTGGACTCAAATATGTTTGATTTTTAAATTAGATCCAAATTTCCTAGTCATGGATCTGATTGGGTCCAATACAAGGTTGAGGACCAAATTTAGTGTATCATTATTAATCCATAACTCTCTCTCTCTCTGTATTCATTATAGGTTGGCTTCTTTCAAAGGAGTAGAACATTGAAGGGAAATGTGCAATCACCTGCTTGGAAGGAGGTAAACTCCATGAACCCCCACATTGTAAAAACCAATTATTTGCTAATGAGTACAATTTAAAAATATCAATAGGAAGACAGCTGATTATTTACAATCAATACTCCATCCTTCCCTAGATAAACTTCACCTTTTATTTCAGCCAAAGGTGGATATGGTCGGGCCTGGACGAGTTTGTCTGGGATTTACACTAACAATTACTAAGAAGTGCTCTACCCAAGCTCCGAGAGACTTGATAAAACTGGTCTCGTATCTTGTCAAAAGTGCCCAAACAATAAATGTGATGACCTCTGCTTATAGTAACAATTATACATAAGCTAAAAAATTAGAATACATGGAATGTATTTTCTCCAAATTCCAAAGTAAAAAAGTTGCAAGTTTAATACAACACAAAGTTTATGCAAGTGTGAGGCCTTATTGTAGTTATTGATTTATTGCCTTAATTAGTCCTAAACATTTGCTGGCTCGGTGTCATCAATTGGGTCTTCAATAATCCTTCATCAGTTCATCACACAAACATATATGAAATGTGTTTGTAAATGATATGTTGGGGCCGGGCTCGAGTGTTGATATTCAATCTAAAAACAAGACTCTTTTATTAAATGAGACTCTCGTTCTGTCCAAGGCTCGAATTTTGTCCCTTATACGAGGTAATTTTTTATTGTCAAAACCCTCTCGAAAGTGATTAGCTAGTTGGGCTTGGACGGATTGCCCTATCCATGTCCACCTCTACTTTTAACTCAGAGTTTAAGAAAGTGGACTTCTATGGTTGTGATTTATATATATATTAATGAAAAATCAACCACGTATTCATCTCCTCAAAAGAAAAATACAGTTTATTTAGGGACAACCATAAAAGTAAAGGCAAAGTTTATTAAGGGATGTCCCAAATTAAACTTCCCGTTTGCTTTTTTATAAATCTCAACCAAACAAGTTCACTTTTCCTTAAACTCTGTGAAAAAGCAAACGAGAAGTTTAATTTGGCACGAAGTGACAAGGGAGCGTGTTTTACACTGCATTGGTGGGGGTGGGGGTGGGGATCTAGATAGTAGGGACTTCCATTTTATATTTCAACGTATGACCAAGAGCCCGCTCTTTCAGAAGAGTTTTTGAATGTAATGAGTTTGTGTATTGACTTAGTTTTATATATACGCAGCTGATAATAATATTGAACATACTCGTGTTGAATTGCATACCAAGGTCATATGATTGCCATTGCTTTAATTGTATGATAAAATTGATTCTTAAATATATGCAGGGTGATGTTATAAAAGAAAACCAGAGTATTGGTCTTATTGCTCAGTTTGATTCTGAGGTTCTAGTCACTGTGAGTTTATGATGTTTGTTTTCATAATGTGTATATCTACTTTTAACATTACATAATTTCATGATTCTTTTTTTCCCTAAAAAATAAATTCTTGCCTTGAGCAGGCAAATGTCAGTGGAAAGGTCTTGAAGATCCTTTATGACGACGGAGGTACGTCTTTTATTTTTTTTGCTGTGGAAATAAATGTTTTTGAGTAATGTCCAACCCCTATCTTTCAAAAAAAATAATTCAAACAGTTGTCCCTTTTTACCATACTGAGGGGTTATCTTAAAAGTAGATTTTTAAGGCAGTGTTTGGGACAAATGAAATATCCGGGTAAAATCATTTTCATGCTTTCTTGTGTTTGATGCGTGTGTGTATTGGGGGGACACTTATTCATAGAAAATTTATATTCATTGGGAAAACCTATTCCATGAAAATCCATTGGTCATTAATTTCCTCTCTACCAAACACTGCCTCAATGAATTATATACGCATATCGAGTCGCCTTCCGTAACATTCTTCTCATTGTTCAACTGCTACTTGTACATTTGCAGAAGCTGTTGGTTATGGAGACCCACTTATTGCTGTGCTCCCATAGTAATTTGGAGATTTATGAACCAAAGATTTTTGGATCATGCTAGTCACACCAAGGTTCACACCATCAGTATTATCTCACACAGACAATTATTGTCTGTACAAGATTGTCTCCGGCGGTGTCATCTTTGAGGTCAAAGTAACATCATTGTTCGGGATTTTTTCTGCTAATTCTTCTGTTGTGGTTCATATATTGGTAGAAGAAAAGGAGTAAAATATATAGGGATGGTGATGTTTTAATGTCCTAAAACACAACTATTTATTGCTATTGTATGTTGAAATTTAATCTTAAAATGTACAATAAGATGTACTCCCTCCGGGGTCGATCTCTGAAACAAATTCTTGTATCGGTTTCGATGATTGAGTATGTAAATAATAAACAGACAACTTAAATTGAGACAGAGACTTGAAATAGAGAGGACAATACTTGTATATGTGATGCTTTTTTGGATAAATCTATTTTCACATTAGTCATGTGATCTATATATGTTGTAATAATTATTTGTGAATATCTAAAATACTCCCTCCGTCTGGAAATATTCTTCCCATTTTCTTGTTTGGTCTGTCTGGAAATATTCTTCCCATTTCCGTTTTTAGTATACTTTTTAAGGATAAATTTCAATAATATCTTTCTATTTTATCTCTAATCTACTTTTTTATTACTTTTTTAATAAGAAAAAGAGATTTAAAAGTGTATAGTATATGCATTTTTGGAAATTTGGCATTTTTTACTACTCCTTAATAAGCGTGCCAAGTCAACACGGGAAGAAAATTTCCAGACGGATGGAGTATATTGTACACTTTCTGTTTTATTTTAAATTGCTTGTTAATTATTCATATGATTAAATTTTAATTACGTTTTTTTATTCATTTTCGTTACTTATTTGAGAAAATAATATAATCTTTTCATATCATATTTTTCAAAATTTATTATATAGTTTTTAAATATATAAATTTCATTTTTTAATTCAATATCAATTTTTAAATAAATTGAAATTCGAAAAGGGTGAGTCAAATTTTGGCATAAAGATGGGGCATGGGGGTTGCATAAACGGTGCAACCAAGGTGTGGACGGTATAAGCATTGACTTGTTAGCGTGTGATTCGGTTGGGCCGTTTCTCTTCTCTCCTTTCCATTGCCAGATCGCGAAGAAGAAAGAGGGGAGATTTGGAGAGAAGATGGCTTCGCCTGCGACGATTCCCATCTCCGCTCCTCAATCCGCCGGCGGTCTCCAGCCTCAGACAGCGATCGCGACTCCGGCCTTCCGCTCGTTCATCTCCCGCCTCTCCTCCTCGATCAGGCAAGGCTTCTCTCAGCGTCGGCCATGGCTGGAGCTTCTGGACCGTTCTTCCTTCTCCCGGCCGGATACTCTCTCCGAGGCCGCCTCTCGCGTCCGGAAGAACTTCTCCTACTTCCGCGTCAACTATGTCGCCTTGCTCGCTTCCGTCCTCGCTTTCTCTCTCCTCTCGCATCCGCTGTCTCTCGTCGTTCTCCTTTCGCTCCTCGCAGCCTGGTTCTTCCTCTACCTTTTCCGGCCGTCGGATCAGCCGGTCGTCATCTTCGGACGCACCTTCTCCGATCGTGAAACGCTTGGGATATTACTCGTGTCCACTGTCGTTGTTGTGTTCCTCACCAGCGTCGGATCCGTGCTCATCTCAGCTCTCCTTGTCGGTTTGGCTCTGGTGTGCGTTCATGGAGCTTTCAGGATGCCGGAGGACTTGTTCCTTGATGACCAGGAGCCCGCCAATGCCGGATTCCTCTCATTCCTCGGTGGTGCAGCCTCCTCGGCAGCCGCTGCAGCTGCTCCTGCTGTTGCGTCTCGGGTGTAATCCGATCACACTTCATTGGATCTAAAGCAAGTGGAGAATCCACAAAGGAGGTTCGTTTACAATTCAACACGCACTTGGTTAATTTTGGTTGCCTATTCAAATTTGAACATGATATTCGAACTAGAAAAAAAATGCCACTGACTTTGCGGGATTTTGTTAGATGTTCTTTGTCTAATCTGGATCTCTATTTGTTTGCTATCATTCTCTTTGCATTTGCATTATCAATTCTGATAGGGTTTGTAATCTGCTATTTCAAATGGTTACCTTTTAATATGAATCTCAGCTTTCATTTCTCCCAATTTTCAGAAATCATCTCTCTATTGTGCCACATTTGGTGGATTCTTCCAAATTTCTTGCCCTCATGTGAATTCAGGAAATATTATTATTAGCAATGTATGATATTTCAAAACTTTGAGCAGTCCAATTTTCTGGGTGCTAGATCTCTCTGAATTGAGACTTGTTTGACTAGTTTTGAAACAACTACCCAGCTCTTTGCAAGGAAAGTACCATCACTTCTTGAAATTTGTCTCATCAAAAGAGAGATTATGCCAATGTTCTTCCCCTGTCCGGTCAAAGTTTCTTGACTGAACTTTTGCGTGCCAATACATTGATTATGATCTGTTTATGTTGCTTCCTCTGCATTATCAAATGTTGTGTAATCTTCGGGGAAACAGGAGCATCAGAAATGGTTACGTGGCATTTTGTTTAGTTGTGACTGGGCTACTCATAGGGTTCATATTAGTATTTGTTTAGGCTGACCAAATTACTCTGTTTAAGGAAGTCTATTGGGATGCTAAATTAATAAAAAATTGAGTACTCTAGCTAGTTACATTTTGAAAAGAATGAAACATTAATGTTTCTCTTGGAAAATAGGTAAATGAACAGCTGAAAATGATCAAAGAAAAGTGATGACAAGTGCAGTATATGCATAATAGTGTGCCATGGAAACAACTCAAAGAAGTTATTTACAAGCTGAGTGGCTAATGGTTATGACTTATGACTATGAATGCCTTTAAGTTCTGTCTCCTTGTTGAATAAGAAGCATTGTGTCACTTAACACATGATCATCCTAGGATCATAAAAGTCTATGTCACATGTCTTAGTTTAGCAGACCTATTTTGAAGAATGGCATTGGCCTGTAGGATCCCTTAGAAGTTTGAAAAACTGTGATTGTCTGCGGCGATTTCTTTTGACATTTATTTTGGTGAAATTTACACTAAATAGTACCAAAACATGTCTTTTCCCAATGTATACTTAAAACTTTTTATTCCCTAAATAGTATTTGAATAATGTCCAGTGGCGGGAACAATGTCTGGTGGCGGTTGACGTTTACTTGAACAATTTCTAGTGGACATTGAACAGTAGTACTACATTAGAAAATTAAAACATATGATATTACATTAGAAAAGTCATTATGTTTTAGTACTATATATGTAAATTTTTCCTGTTTTTAATTAGCATGGGTTGTTTGGTTAGGTTTTTAACCCTGCATATTAATAAGAAAAACAATCACCAAACTACTCTGTAGCTAAATCCACTCTCACCCAATCTGAAACATCCTTAAGATTGACTTGATGTTTGTATGCTTTTTTTTGTCATGAATGGACTATCCTTTAATTCATCTCTTTTTTATTGTCCTTTATGTGTTTGTGATTAATATCATTAATGGTAATATTTAATTATATAGATAATCACGAACGAGAAGGAAGATCTGTATTTCTAGCTATGAAACCCCAAATCTCTCAAATTAAGCTCCGAGCAGTGGTAATAGTCTTCACGCCCACCGCTGTGATGGCCAAGTTTAACGCCGGGGGCGTTAAACACCACCCCCATGGGCTTCATCTCGCGTCAGACGCACCGCGTCATAACTTTGACGTGTTTCTTCCCCTCCCCCAACAGCCAAAACGGCTATATAGNAAAAAATCTAAATTAAAAAAAACTATAAATTCCCTTAAAAAAAACTTTCTTTCACACATTTTTCACTATCTTTTCTCTACAATTCTATCAATCTTTCAAATATTTGATTATTTATTATAAATATTTATAAAATATATTTTAAAAATGGGATCATCTTCATCTGATGATGAAAAAAGAGATCTCATTTTTTGTTGTTTCGCCACGAGTTGTATTCAATGGTGGGAACAATGCGAGGAAGAAGAAGTCGAATCCTCCCGACAACGGACCCGACGACAACGTTTAAACCGGGATCGAGCGGCCGCCCACGCTTCACTTCTAAATGACTACTTTAATACTCTGTGTGTTTATACACCGGAGGATTTTAGTAATCGTTTTTGGATGAATCATCCTCTCTTTTTACGCATACTTGCCGATGTTGAACGCGAGGTTCCTTGGTTCACCCAACGCTTTGATGTTAGAGGCCGATGCAGGTTTAGTAGTGTCCAGAAGTGCACTATCGTGCTCCGTCAGATGGCGTACGGGACGACATCTGATATGTTCGACGAATACTTGGAGATGTCGGCTCGGAGCATCAGGTCCTGTGTTTATAAATTTTCTAAAGATATTATTCAAATTTATCATAAAAGATATTTACGCAAGCCTACAGCGAGCGACATTCAGCAGTTACAGGCAAGGCATGCCGCTAAACACGGCTTTGTCGGCATGCTTGGGAGTATTGATTGCACGCATTGGGAATGGAAAAATTGTCCCATTGCGTGGCATGGTCAATTCTCCTGGGGAGATCATCCCAAGCCTGCTATCATGCTCGAAGCTGTTGCTTCAAATGACTTGTGGATTTGACACGTTTTTTTCGGTGTCGCGGGCTCGAACAACAACATCAACGTTCTCGATCAATCGCTTGTTTTTGACGATTGGATTAAAGAGACCGCACCCGACTCGTCTTTTGAGCTTAGAGGGACGCTTTACAAGCGTGGATATTATTTGGCCGATGGAATATATCCAGATTATTCCACGATTGTCAAATCCCTCTCTGAACCAATGAGTCTTAAACGCCAGACCTACAAAAAAGCTCAAGAGGCGGCGAGAAAAGATATTGAACGAGTCTTCGGGGTCTTGAAGGGTAAATGGCACATTCTAGATTGACCGTCGAAATGTATTTCTCAAACGAAAGTGAAGAATATCATGTACGCATGTATTATTCTTCATAATATGATGATAGAGGACAACGGAACTGTGATTTGTCAATAGAACCCGGACGAGGAGGTGCTTATGTACGAAGAAATGAACAAAGAAACCGCCAAGAAATTCGAAGCCGAGAGATTCACAATGCACTAACGGCAGATTTGATCGAACATATCTTTAGTCGCTCGAATAATTAGTAATTTCTTTGTAGTGTTATTTTTTTTATGTAATATTTTTTTAATGAATGTAATTTTTTTATGAATGTATTTTTTTATGAATGTAATATTTTTTCTAATGAATGTAATTTTTTTAATGCACTAGTCTCATTGCGATTAATTTAAATAATAAATTAATTAAAATTTATTAATTTAAATTTAGAAGATGTACATTTAAAAATGTAAAAAAATGAATGTTTGAAGCCACTGTTTAAAGCCTCGGGGTTTCAAACCCATTTCCACTAAATCTGTGAAGTAAGTTAAAACTGACGTGGCAGAGAGAAATTTTGAAGCTCCGATTTGAAGCCCTGGGGCTTCAGTATTTCCAGTGCTGTTCTTTCTTTCTTCTTCTTCTGATTGCTTTTTTTTTTGAATTTGGGGTTTAGAGTGATATTCTCGGCCCAGTAGACATTGCTTTTTCAATTCATTGCCAAATGCCATTAAGAGATTGAGAATGGTCCATATAGACAACGAAAACTATTTGAAATTTGACCAAAACAAATACATACTCTCCCAATCTCAATATAAACTTTTTATTTTTACCTCATTTTTTCTATATTACATTTTCCATTCTTTTCAAAGTATTGAATGGTTCATATTATTATTTTTTCTTTTGTTCAAACTCGGAGCATTCCCGTGTCATCCCATGTCATTGATTTCCAATGTCATGGTAACCAAGGAGAAATAAAAAAACATTACGTATTAGTGATTCTAATATATTTTACTTAATCAATACTCAATAAGAATACATAATTAAATTAATTTAATTATAATTTTTAATTAGTGAATAATGAAAATGTTGGCGAGAAGAAGGAAATAATTTACAACTATGCTAGAGGTACACCAAAAAATGTATAGCAAAGGTATGCATTGACATTTTAATAGTTCACATTGACAAAATGCTAGTGCGATAAAAAAATTTGTATTATCAAGTAACATTTTGTGTCAGTGAACATCACCCTAGTATCACACTGACACAAAATGGAATCGTATAGTTGTGGTGTACAATTTAAAATACAAATTTTTGATGTTCAAATAATTTACTCTTAGTTCAATAATATATGGCTTCTTTTGTATCTGTCCTTTAGAAGTAGGAAAAAATATTTTTAAACGTCAAATTGTAACATTTTTTTAAGGGAGGAAAGGAGTAGAAGGAAAGAGTATGGGTGACATGCATTGAAACATGTGTTAAAATTCCGACAAGTGGAGAACAACGGGTAGAATATCGAGTAAAATTAACCACTTACATATAAAGTTGGGATCCACTATTTTAACTCAAAAATTTAAGCTAATAGGTAGAGCTTCACCCTTCCATAGATGCTAGTAGTATTCATATTTATTTTCTGAAGTGGAAACTCCAACACACTCCCTCAGTATATATTTTTTATTAGATTGCGTGTTAAAAGTGCTTTTTTAACACACTTCTTTCAAATTCACGATTTATGTTTGTAATTTTTAATAATGTGTGTTTTTTTAAAATTTACTTTATTAATTTAAATTAAAATGTTATAAAAGTAATATTTAAAAACAAAAATAAAAAAAGAATTGAGATCGCCCCCCGCCGGCGTTAAAGGGGCGTGAGGAGCCCTGCGTCATTCGTTTGACGCGGCGTGAATTTCTGGGCTCCCTCCCCCTAAAGGCTTTTTTAGCCGTTGCAGGCCATATTTCAAAAAAAAAAATTCCTATAAATTCAACCCTCCCCAACCAATCTCTCACACCTTCTCTTCAATCTCTTCTTCTTTCTTATTTTTAAATTTCAAAATTCAAACCCCCCCTCCCAATTTTCAACATGAATCCTTCCGGCTCCGGCTTCTTTCCCGACGATCTCCCGCCCGTCGACGCCGCGATGTGGTATTACCAAGAGTTGGGCGATCGACCGCCGATGTACGAGATACAACAGTCGGGGTACGTTGACCGAGATTCGGTTCCAGAGACTCAACCGGAACCGTCCGGATCGAAAAAAAGTACACGCCGGAAAAGCCA